CTGCGATATAGCAGAGTTTGGTACATGTGCTATATTTGACGATCCAACAATGTGCGGTGCGATACTTTGAATGCTCTGTATCGTTTGGAATGGAAACTGTGCGCTACTAGAATTCAGGCTAGTCGGCGTCAGACCAGTCGCCAAGGCGTTTACGGGTCTATTAAGACCTTGATTTACACCCGAATTTATACTGGTAGCAGTCAAATTTGTATTCGGATTAATAGCAGATAAACCAGATACGCCAGAATTTGTGGCAGTTAAATTGGTATTCAATGTAAGATTCTGATTCACGCTCGATGAGTTCAGACTCGTCAAATTTGGATTTACACCACTCAGTCCCGCGTTTACTCCAGATAGCCCAGAATTAATATTTGTAGAGTTTATCGTATTAAGCCTGTTTATCCCACTATTTACCCCTGTATTTATGCCATTTAAATCTTGTCCAAGATTGGATAAACTGTTATTAATATTGTTTGAACCAATGTTGGACGTCAGATTGGAATTGATAGCATTTAAGTGATTCAGGCTAGGATTTATCGCAGTCAGCCCTGTGTTTATACTCGGCAAGCCCAAATTGAGCAGAGGATTTGACGTGGTGATAACATTGGAAGTGAGAGATGTAAGACTGGTATTTAGAAGTGACAGTGGCAATCCCATATTAAGGCCCACCCCAAAAGTGGGGGTGGCCGGGGGTAGGCCCATACCAGTCCCCGAGGGATTTATGGTACTCTGATTCAACTGATTCAATTGGTTTACGTAGACTATGTGATTTCCAGTTGTCGATCCATTTCCTTGCTCTTGGGGCTGTAAGAACAAGCAACATTGGAATAACATCTTCGATCTAATATTTGCTAATTATCAACAAAAGTGACTTACATTATTTGATGTTTGCTGCAAAGCAAATGTTAATGATTGACCACTAGTATTCTGGGCTTGTAGTTGTTGTAATTGCTGCAACTATAAGATTGGCAAATATTAAATAGTGACATATATGAAGATTATTCAGAGAAATTTTATAAAATCTATGTACTTAAACTTAAATTGTATATATAATAAAGATATAATTATATATATAATTAAGTTTAAATAAAGAGATCAAATTTAATACTATATATTTATATATGTAATATATATTTTCTTTTAATTTTGTATACTTTAAATAAAATAGATGTATAAATATTCAACTCTTTTGGAAAGGTACATGTACAGAAGAGAAATACAACATATTTCAAACTTAAAAAATAGCAATTGAAAGATCTAAGTATGCTTCTATAAAATCTTACTTGTTGTTGGGTCAAAACAGCAACTGGATTATTACGTGGACGTGCATTAGGGGAAGTTGTAGAGGATACTGAGTCCCCAAGAAGAGGGCGTGACTGAGGCTGCTGCATGCCCACGCAGCCCCTCTTTACTATGGGCAGCGTCTAGCCACCTTTTCAGCTTATTTTGTTTCTCCCTATGAATAGAAAATTTACTTATAAATTTTTACAGAAATTTATAACAAATAATTTATAAAAAAATATACTTTTATATCGTGAGAATAAATTTGTTTTATTAAACAGATGACACTAATAATAAATGTAGTTAAAATATTTTAATTTTTGAAGATATATTTGTATTTAGTATATAAGTTATTAAAATTTTATATGTATATGTGTGTGTTAACTATTATTAGTGTAAACAGTATATTTACCAAAGTTGTTTAATAATCGCAAGTATTTGCGTTTCGGCGCCACTCAACACGTCTGCGGCCTACGTCTCCTGTTCCTGTCATGCATATAATTTCGTATTTTGTCCACAGTTCTGGCAGCACTGTATTAATTCTTCAAAGTACTTATATTCACATATACAGATAATGTTTCCAAAGATCTTGCTCGGATACTAATCATTCTTGGCCATTATAGGCATTACTTTGTCGTGTATTAAGAGTAGTTCTTTGCTGAACTACTTTATCCGTTAAAGAATAATTGCTCAATTGCATTGTGAATATATCCAGACTTATATTTAAAATGCATCTGTCGCAGGATTCCATCCATTTATAAATGTAGCAATGTTACGTTCGCCCATGACAGCACATTTAAAATACTCACGAAGAACAGTATCAAACGTCGCTTCATAAATAATATTTCTCTTTCGCATTACATGCTATCCCAAGTCTAAGAAGTAACTCACAGACATTCTTGGATATTTGTCAAATGTTTAAAGTGTAGTATCACAAAGTTATACCTTTGCTCACAAAATATTCATCAAAATCATCTCTTCTCAATAGAAGTGCTCCTATGATTGTTATTACACACACTACACTTTTACTCGCACAGATACTGCCTGCAACTCTTGTCCTGCAAAAAGTAACATCAAAACTCATGTAACAGATAAATATTAAATGTTTCACATTAAAAAAAAGTTAATAAATAATCTAGAAATTTTTTTCAAATTTTTATCGCGACAATCAGCTTAAACTAAAAGAGAAAAAAAAGGAAACAATGTAACCATTTAACACAAACAATCCTACGTAAAAAGCGTTAATGTTCAGTTCATACGTTAATTCCGAGATACCCGGAGGTCTCGGTAAAACGATTGGGGCACCGAATTCGACAGCTGGAAGCATATTTGGAGGTTATAACTGGCGCGCCTGTGTGTGCAAGCATACGTGCCACACAAGCCACACCGACACATATACAGGGGCGCGCGAGGCGAATTCACATACATCTTGCACTCACTCACTCACTCTCTCTCTCTCACTCACTCACTCACTTATACGAAGGTACCAGCGGCGCGCGGATTGCACACAACAAAAGGCCCGACTGACAAGGCGTAAACAAAAGAAAACGCGAGCATCTGGCGAAAATCACGGACTCCGGAGGGCCGGGAGACCCGGCGCACGGTGACGCGGGCCGCGTGTTCGGCGGCTGACGCGCAAAAATGCGCGTAGCGTCGCGCGACGACGGGACTGTCAATATTACCTCTCCTGCTCTCCGCCGCGAACGCGGTTCTGCCACCCCGTGTGTGTGTTTTCCTCCTGGGAATTTTCGCGAGTCTCCCCGGTCGGCGATTTCTCCCCCGCGCTATCTCGCGTCCTCGGCGCGGTCCACCGCGACCTCGTCCTACGAAAACAACGCACACGGAGCACGCGCGCCCACGATATTCTACTGAAAATAATAAACTTTTCAGTTATACGACAGTTCCGTGTACATACGCGTTACACTATTCGGTGGCGACAGCCATCATGTATTTATCAAGGCTGCCACTGCGGACGAGAAAATACCAGATTGATCTGGCTTAGAGTCCCTAGAAATCATAGGGATTATTATTTTATTATTAGTGTAAATAATTATATATATATCTTATTATATTATAATATATTATTATTATTATATATTATTATAAATGATAATATAATATATTATTATTATATATTATATTATTATAAAAAATAATATATAATAATATTATTATTATTATATATTATATTACTAATTGTTATAAATAATAATATAATAATAATAATATCTCGCTTATTGGTGACATCTCTTGACTTTTTCTGTAACCATGGGGATGGAAAATAAATTCGAACTGATAAACTGCACTTCTATAGCTTCTAGAAGATTCCTAGGGATTTTAGTCGCTTTTGTACGCGCTAGGAAATAACGCGCGTTTGCACGGCGCTGGCCAATCAACGTTTCGTTTTTCTAGACGCGATACGCGCGTAATAGGAGGTAATTGGTTAAATTCATATAAATAAATTTCGTTTTGGACAAGTTTATGCATTTATAAACGTCGCTTATTACACTTTTCTGTGATGAAAGTTTGGAGAAGCATCCCTTACATCACTGTAAACTGCAACGTCATGAGAGAAATGAGATCCCAATCTTATATTACGATCTGTTTTCGATGTTGTTATAATGATAATTTTATGAAATATAATTAAAAATTATTGAGATAAAAAACTTTGTATTGTTTATGATTTTGTAAATATATTTTTTTAATTATGTAATTTTGCAAAAAATGTCGAAGAATTGTTTTATATAGAAAATCTGTAAAAACATAAAAGATAATTAAATTTTAAACAAAGATTAAGATTAAGATTAATTTTCCAAAAATAATATTTTACAAATAAAAAACTATTTTGCTAAAAATTACATTGTTGTAGAAATTGCAATATAGTATGTTTTTCAAAGAATTTTGCCATGTAATTAAAAAAAATTATAAAATACAATTTAAAATTTTAATTAATGTAATTAAAAAATAAATCTCGAGAAAATACTGTTGCTTTATTATTTATCACAATAATAGAAATTAGTTTTTAAATAAAACAAAAAAAAAATTGAAGTTTCCTGATCTGATAGGCCCTGTTAAGTTCAATGCGTTTAAATCTTTCTGTGAAAGATACAAAACGCCATTTTTACACACATTACTTTTACTTGGACCAATACTCTCACAACACATCACGAAAAATCAGCCGAAGCTTCCCTTTTTTATTCGTGAGATGGCGGAGGATAATAGTGGTAAAGCTACGGCACTTTCTGCCACGGGTCCAGGGACCTTCCTCAGAGTTGAAAGAGTTACCAAGAACTCGAATGTGGCTCCGCGGTGTGACCTCAGGGAACTTCGTGATATGTTTTCTCGGAGCAAATATATAAGTAAGAGATGCATCGAAAAGCACTATCGAGAAACATGATAAATAAGAATATACCATATTTCTCTTATAAAATTACATTTTACAACATCAAATTTTATTTTTAAAACATTTTTCTTTCATAAACTGAAGTTTTTTTGTAAAATAAGATATGCATTATTAAATTAGAAAAATTTATAATTAAAAATATATTTAAAAAAGTATTTTTCATATAAAATTACTTTGAGATAAATAATTTATTGTTTACATAATTTTTATTCAAAGTTTTTTTTAAATTTAAAAGATTTTTTCTAATTTTATGAAATTTAATAAAACTAAAAAGACACTCTCATATAGATAAATTTATAAAACAGGACATCTTATCTTAGGTATATTTATGTACATTTTATTTTATCTAAATAATTTCGCAAGATTTGCTAACAATAAGTGGAATATAGATAGTTTCATATATTGGCTCTTGTGTAAAAGATATATTTTCTTTTTATTACTACAAGTAAAACTATTAGAAAAAAAATATAGAAAATTCAATTAATTTCTATACAAGTAAAATCTATACTCTATCATTGTTATCGATTATACATATTACACTTTGAAGAATTTTAGGATCCAACTACATAAGCTACGACCGTTGCATGATCTAGCTTGCCAGGTATCATAGATATCTTTTCTAATGTCTTTTTTCTTCGAGATCTTTGTTCTAGCTTTGAGAGTTGTATCAATTGACCATCTTTATGTTGTCCATAATATAAGTCTGTGTCTTCTAAAATCCGTCTTTTTGCAGCAGTTATACGCACCTATAGAACAAAACAAAAAGTAATTAGTGTACTGGAAGTAATATTATGTATATAAAAATTTTACACTTACTGCAAAATCTAAAAGAAGTTCGCACAGATGTTTGGCACTATTGCATGGCGGTCCTTCTCCAGAAACTCCACGTCTTAATAGATCTTCCATCCTGAGTAGTGTGAGTTCATGTCTTTGATAAGCTTCAACTACTGGTAGATTGTTGCTATTCACATTATTACTATTACTTGACTCTGTGTGTCGGATATTTTCTGTAGATTTTCGACGTGTTTTTGATCTTGCATCATAACTTTTTAGCATTGCGTCAGCACTGCTACTGTAATTAGGTAAAACAGCAAATTTTCCCACCACAGGATCAAAATTATCTGAAATTCCATCGCTTGTCAAAAATACTATATCGTCTCTTTCAACTTCCGTTATCGCCAGTGTTAAATTATTCAATTCAGGATTAGAGCCATCTACTGGACCTAGAGCTCCTAAGGCATCTCGCATATCTCGCATGCAGTGAATGTCGTGAGATCCTCGTGTTATCTCTCTCACACCAGTTTTCCTGTTTTGTTTTCATATAAGAGATAGTTATAAAAGGATATCTAAGATATTATCTGTAGCAATTTATAATTTAGTATATAATAAAAATATATATATATATATATATATATATACCTTGAGTATACATAAGCTAAACTATCACCAACATTGCAGGTACAGGCAATATATTTTTTCTGGCATATATTTGTATCAGTACTTGGACTTGGCAGTGGAAGGATTGTGCATACTGTTAAGGTAGTGAGCATTCCTTGTTCTTGAAGAATCAGTGAATGCGCTGCATGGAATGAACGAAGTAATGCTATAAATACATCCTTTGTTGTTGTCATTTCGCTATTTATAGACGGGCAGAACAGAGCCTGGTTCAAGTACTCTATACTTCCATGAACCGCAGATCTGGCTGCTATACTTGCTTTTGTACCTAAAATATTAATATTAAATTAGAATAAATTATATGGTCAATGACAAATAAATTTGATTAGTTTTAATCATAGTGAAGTTATGAAAGGAACTAGAGCTAGTTGTTTTTCTTATGAATTATTTTCTAATAAAATATTTGAAAAACTTAGATATTTTTTTTATCGGATATATAATAAAGTTATAAATAAATTTATCAAATTAAACTTTTATTTGACTTATACTTTTATTTTTATTTTTATACTTGACTTCAATCTATGTCAATCTATCTAATCTTTTAAAGATGTATTATTGCTTTTACCCCAATTGACACCATCTGCAAGAGCTAATATGGCAGAGTTTGGTCTTGCCACAATGCCGAAACAGTCAGCTATTGGTTCTCCATTGTTAGTATTATTTGTAGGATTCTTCTCATATAATGTAGTTGCAATTCCATATGCATTCTCATGAGGACTGAACCAATCGGTAACTCCAGCAATTTTAATATTTGTTGTTGTTGATCCTGTAAAGTTTTGTATTTTATAACGATATAAAAACAAATATATATATTTCATTAATTTCACTATTTTAAACTCACCACTTCTATACTGCTCATTTTGATCTAGCATATCAATGTAATCTATATCACTATCATTAATACTTAAGTGTTTCTGTTGAAGATTGACTGCTGTAAGACCACTATCGGGACCAGTATAAGCTGCAAATATTCTTTCATTTTCCTGAAAATTGTCGAGTTGTCTACTCGGCAATTCTTCTGGATTTCGACCATGTAAAATTGATGGTCCTTCTTGTTTTGTTTCTAATCTAAGAATGTCGATTGTAGGGTCATATTAAAAGATAGTGAGAGAATATTGATACATATCACACAAATAACATGTTGTAGTTTTAAATTTATATAAGTTTATATTAACATATGATTAACATTATCTAATTAACTGCATTTTTAATTTTTATGTTTACCCATTAAGATAGCGTGTGATGAAACAGCCACCAAATTCCTGAGATTGCGGGCTTTGAAGCGACTGCTCCCCGAGGCCTATACTCTCCACAGCCCCAGCCAAGTTGCTAATAGATAGTTGGCGCATGAAACCAGCAACTTTCTTCCGTAAACTTGGCATCTTTTAAAGAAGTCCAAGTAAAGGATACAGAGCAATTAAGAATGATAATTATTGTCTAACATTACTTCACTTGATGAGAGGCTCATACCATGATTATAGCTGCCAGTTACAGGTCTTAGATCAAACCTGAAAAAATCCATAAATATATATGTTTAAAAATTTTACTTTTTTATAGTCAAATAATAGAATAAATATATATATATATATACATATATATATATATATATATATATATATATATATATATATATATATAATAGATTAGATTATAGTAATTGAAGCAAGTCATCCAAATGATGTTAAATAAGAATAATAACAAATATGTAATTATATATATTTAAATAAAATAATATATAAATAGATATAAAATATATGTAAAGCAGTAAATTACATATTTTTCTATATGTTCTTGATAAGTATCTAAAATTTTGAAAAAATATTTGATGAATCTATGTTAATAAAATTATATAAATAAATTTGTTAATGAAAACTTTCGTTTTTATTGCAATTACTGCACTTACAATTTGTATTAATATAAAGTTTAAAAGACAGTGATCACACTTCTCTCAAGCTAAGATAAAGAAATTTAATCAAGCTGTTAATGAAATATTTTTCCACACTTTTTACACATTGCAGAGATACATAATTCCATTGTTTCCTCTTATCGACAACTCAATTTATTCAGACACTTAATAAATCATACGTGAATTGGGACAAATATCGACGAAATGATATAAAAAGTCGAAGAAAGGCACAAAGGGAGAAAATACAAGGATGTATTAAAGAGAATTCCAAACTGACTAGGCGTGTTAATTGCGTCGTGCATTGACACCAAGGCAGACACAGTTACCTGGGAAAATTCTCACTGCGCGAGAATGAGATCACGATGCATGCTGCACACACAGGCCTTTTTCACTTTACCGCCATATTGGCAATGTGTCAATAACCAACTGAACTATACGAGAGCGCGGGCCTAAACACACATACACACAGACATAGATATCTCTCCTCCCACACGGAGTCGCGGCCCGTCACTTGCATGTGCATACATGGAAATCGGAACGTCGTACGCGCGAGCGCGATTAATATGGGTAATAAAGCGGCGTCAACGGATGTCACAATGTCGACGACACTCTCATTGAGGTACTTATGACGTATGGTACGTCACGCACGTAACGGAGTCGCGAAATTGACGTTTGCTCCAATTCTCGCGCGGCTGCCAAAATCAGCTGACTGCGATCGGCCGTCAGCCGAGATAAGACGATACTCATATTATAGCTATCATCGCGCGTGTGTATTTGTGTATGTGTTGTAATATGATAATATATACAACACAATGTGTGATAATACCGTAATAAAGACGAAGACGATGATGACAGTTGAATTCTTTTCTTTTGCTCCGTTTTGACATTTGACGAGTCAATATGGCGTCCTCGTCACAGAGAGTTCGCAATTTTTTCGTGGTTATTTTAGCGGGCTTCGCATTCTCTCGCTACTCCGCAAAGTCGTGTATTTCGTGACTCGGATTCGGTGAATTGAATTCTTCTTATGGAGGAATTCGATGATTGACGCGATCTTGGATTAATAGCGATTATTCTCGATTTTAATGCGCAATCTTGGCGACAGGTAGTGTTGAGCCAGTGTATTAGTATTTCTCTACTTCCGCGTGCGAAATTATTATTACGTAATCATAATATTTAAAATCCTATCACACCTGAGCGATCCTGGCAGCGATATTCCTCTACCGAATGTTCTGTTTCGTTTAAGAAAGTGTCCGAGAAAGTGTACGGTTTCTTTTTATACAGTTAGTTTTGCGCACAATTCACGTGACGTTATTTTGACAGAAGAGAAATTTTTTTTTCATGTTATATCATCCCCTCATTTGTTAGATATTTAATATGCGCGGATATCACTTGAAATATTTAAAAAATGATGTAAAATATGTCAAAATGTTCATGCATTCTTCTTAATGTTGCCCTTTAAAGGTTGTGAATGCACAAACGGCTAATGTTCTATAAGAAGTCAATAGAATAAAAAAAAGATCAGAAATTGTTAAATGACAGCAGAAGTATAAAATGTATGAATCTCCAAGAAGTCTTCAAGAGGTTTGCATCGACTTCATCTGCGGTAACGTTCTAGGCTTGTGTGAGGTTCATCTTGGTGATACAAGTGTACATTCTTCCACTACTCCCAATAATAGCACTGTTTCCGGTAAGTGTTTATCTAAAACAGAGCATTTACATTGCTATAGACTTTGCAGAATTAAAACAGCATTAATTTTAGATCAACAAGGTGTCTGTACATTAAATAGTAATAGTACAGAAGTTGCTTTTGATACTACAACAGGTAGAAGATCATCTAATGATGCTTGCTCCAACTTTGCAACTCGGCTCACCTTTAGGCATCCGGATGCTTTTCTACCAGCCGAAGTATCGGAACAATTATTATCCAACTTATGTGAAAAGAAAACTTTGTCCGACTTGACAATTACACTATTTGACTCCAAGACCACTAGATTAAGGTGACATGATTTGAGTTTATTTAAAGGAAAGAACTTTTTAACAATATTATATTTTCTTTTAGGCATGTACGACTGAAAGATGCGTCGACATTATCAGCTAAAGGCTTAAGTGTTCTTAAGCAACATAAAGTTATAGATTTAATAGTAAATGGACTTAAAATAACTGTTAATGAGTTAATTAGCTGTTTAGGTGATTGGAGTATACAAAATCTTAGGTCGCTAAGTGTAGCTAAAGGAAGCTTTATGGATTTTTCAAGGTTATTATTAAACTTCACACACATTGCGACACATTTTTAAGTTGAGTTATGAGAGATTCTTATAACAGTTGATAATTTTATACCTTTACACATATTTTGTGTTATAGACAACGCATGGTAGATATTGCAACATTAAACAAATTAAAGGCACTTCACACCTTGAATGTCTCAGGAACAGAATTTAATAAACATGGTTTGGACATAGTAGTCGAAGATCTTCCCCTTTTAGAGAGCTTAGATATATCTTGTACAAGAGTTGACGATGTAACACCATTAAGGAAATGTAAAGATCGTTTAAGGACATTAAATATGTACAATTTAAAGATAAGTGGATGTGCAAATTTAATACCAGTATTACTGGAGTTAAATGAATTAAGGCATTTAGACATTTCTGATGAGAAAGATTCACAGGGTTTTGAAGTGTTTGCACCAACTAAGCCAAAATTAACAGATTTTCTAAGAGCTCTTAATTGTATGCCTTATTTGACAACTTTAGATTTGTCTGGTGAGTAGAAAATATAATATAATCTTTATATATAATAATGTCCTAATTGTTCTTTAAATTATTAATTAATTAACGATATATAAGAGATATATAAGAGATTTTTTTAATGAAATATAATATTCTTATATAGGTAAAGATGATATAAATTCGAAAGATTTAAAAAATTTTATTGCATCACATGTACATTTGAGGTTTCTGGGGCTGGTGCATTCTGATACTTGTTATGATGAAAGTTTCATAGATTCAACACATGAAGATTATAAATCCGAACTTGTTGTAAGTTGACATATTGGAATTAATATTATACAGCCATATGTACTGTTTTTATGTGTTACTTTCATATACAAAAAAATTAGGATTTATAATTTTGTTACATTATACTCGTTATATCTTTAAATATGTGTAGAGTAACATTATTATATTTATTATTATTATTATTTGTATAAAGTTTGATATTTTTCATATTCTCTATCTTTTGTCATTTTTTCTTTGTATTCATTATACTCTCAGTTATATGTTATAGAAAAATTATCAGTATCAGTGTTTATAGTATCAAGTGTTTGTATATAATTAGCAATATCAGTATTTATAGTATCAAGTGTTTGTATATAATATTGTTTTATTGCATATATAATGTAATTATTATAATAATCAATTTCTATTTGCAAATATAGAAAAAACGTTGATATAAAATTTTATTGCTAGAAAAATTTATATTTTTATGCATAATTAAAAAAGAAAAGAATATAAGAAAGTAATTTTTGTAAATAGAGTAACATTAAATTAAGGAAAACAGTTCAACACAGAAAGAAAAAGATAAAATTATTTAAGAATTAAGAAAAGAAATTGATATATGAAATAATATATAAAGTCCATCTGTTTTTTACTTTAGATTAGTGGTACAGCAACAGAGCCTCAAATTTTGGAAGCCCTTAGAAGATATATATACAGACCAATATATCTTCAAAAGTGTTTGTTTAATTTATTTCGTTTGACACCAAATTTTCTCGAACCACGAGTTGATGTGATAAAATTAGTGTTACCTGGAATGAGAGAGCATCCACAGGAGTTCCGTGTACAAATGGCAGCCACTGCGTGTATTTATAATCTCACCAAGGGTGAATTAGCTCTTATGATTCATCCGTCGATACTTAAACAGATAGTTGAATTGACATTATTAGCAATGGAATCATATCCAACTAATCATCAACTTCAAAAAAACACACTATTGACTTTATGCAGCGATAGAATCCTACAAGATGTTGCATTTGATAAATATAGGTAGCTATATACATATAATAAATTTATAATTTAAAGTAAAATTATATGCTGAAATTTTAATTATGATCTTAAATTGTTTATTAATAATTTCATAGAGCTTTCTGTAATATAATATTTTTAATAATAATATAATCTTGCAAATTATTACACGAACAAGTATTATCTGTTTTGTAAATGGAAATTGATTATATGATAAAAGAGAATTTATACACACAACTAAATAGTATTAGATGGACATTGGAATTTCAGCATAAAAATATAAATATTTTTGCGATATACATATATATAACAATTTTATTAGTACATATACATCACAATTATATATACATATATGTAAATCTAAAAAAATTTAATTTAACAGATGTGCAAGATTAGTTATGAATTGCCTATCAACATTTGACGATGCATCTATGAATCGTATGTCTGTGGCCATTTGCTCAATATTAGCAGCAAAAATATCGACTGTGGAAACGTCTATGCTTGGCGCACAACCACAATATATGTTGAAATTGCTTGCAATGGTTAGATCTAAAGTTGAGTCTAAACTAGTAGATATTACAATGAAATTTACATTAAGCGCTTTATGGAATTTAACGGATGAAAGCGCTATTACATGCAAAGTCTTTCTCGACGAAGGTGGAATGGAATTATTTCTTGAGGTGTTGGATAGCTTTCAAGGAGAATCTAGTGTAGAAACTAAGGTACTTGGTCTGCTAAACAATATTGCAGAGGTTTGTATCAGGATTTATACTAAATGTATATTATTTTAATAAATGTAAACATTGTATCCTTACAAATATTGCATTAAAATATAATTCATTTATTCTTTGCACTGAAAATTTCAGGTCGATCACTTGAGACCACGACTTATGCAGCCTCGATTTATAAAAATGCTTTCTATGCTGCTCGACTCTGAGCACATTGATGTATCCTATTTTGCAGCTGGTATTGCTGCACATTTGCTTAGTGATGGTCCTCGAGCTTGGTATAGTATGCCATCGGAGCCGAGTAGGGAGCAGTTGTTGGATCAATTGGTTCATGCTGTAACTCATTGGCAAACACCACAAGGAGAAATGGTTGCTTATCGTAGCTTTCAACCATTTTTTCCACTATTACGTTGTACAGATGCATATCCTGTTCAGCTCTGGGCAGTATGGGCAATTCATCATGTATGCACAAAGAATCGTAAGTCTATAAAGAATATTATTTTATAATATAGATTTGATTCAAATTTGTCTCTATTTTGATATAATAAAAATTTAATAATTATACCCTTTATATCAGAATAATTATATTGTTTTATTATAGCAAGAAACAATATTTTTAAAATAATTGGCATTACAGTAAAGAAAGATGAAAATTTTGAGAAAAAAGTATTGAAATATATAATTATTAAAATATAATAATCATATGCTTATATTTTTCAGCAAAACGCTATTGTGCAATGTTAATTAGAGAAGGAGGAGTAGAAACGTTAAAACAACTCGAGAAGACCCATACAGAATATACAAAACAAGAAACTTTTACAACTTTTCTGCAAAGTTTATGTCAATCAATTTTGGAAACCCTCGAATTAAATTCCTAACAATAGCTCTGTTGCTTTTTAAAATCTAAAGATTAAATGTTATGATATGCTAGTCAATGTCTGTTTTAGTGCAATCCTATATCCTGTTCTTTAGACCAAATAAATATAAAAATGATATGGCCGTGAATATTCAGAAAGACAGATTCTGCAATCAAATCACAAATCCAAAATATTTTAATTGCAGTTGAGTTAATATTTCGAGGTATGTGTATGTGTGTGTGTGCGTGTGTGAGACTCATTAGAACTGACGAGATTGGAAGATCTGAATTGAGAAATAAATATATCTCTGTTACAGAGTGTGTTGTCTTTTATAGAATTAACTCTGGAAAAAACATTCAAATTAGCAATAATTGTATAAAATAAGTTATAATTATGTATAGTAATGAATTTATAACTTTAAAATAAATTACAAAACTTGTAATACAGTACACAATAGAGCCTTTGTATTGATTAATGTATACAATTCTCTGCTATTTTCTTCTTTTATACTGTTTTACTATTACATATTTGCCTGATTATGTGATTATGTGTGGACAGAACGAGAGAAAATGATTGAAAAATAAAAGGAGGTATGCATACCACCTGATCAGTAAATATGAAATGGCTTAAAAGAAGAAACATTAACAGTAAATTGAAGAATAATCAATATAAGGATCCTATTGTAATTTAAAAAAAAACGAGATGTGATTTTAAGAAAAAGCAAAAAAATATGCATGCTTGCTGCTGATTTATACTTTTCAACAATTTGTATTATTAATACTTATTAATATTTATAGTAGATTTAACAATTTTATTTATATATATACACATATATAAAACTGTTGCAGAAAATCACAGAATAATCGAGATAATATGTTTGTAATGTTTCAAGATGTATTTATATTTTTATCATTTATTTAATAAACGATTAATGTTAGAGATATATTACTTATATTTGAGATTCTAGTCTAATATTATTATCTTAAATTATAAACTATTCATTAATTATATTCAAATTATAGATATAATAATCAATATATGCATTTGTCAAAAACTAACAATATATTCTAATTGTACAATTGTTTTATATAATATTTTAATGAAAAAATGTATTAATGGTTTGTTGAATAACTGATTTAATTGACATTTAGATCTCATATAAAATATATAATTTAATTATTTTTTGGATATCAATATCTGGTTAGAATGTATTTTACTGATATAATCTGAAATTTTAGACTAGAATCTCTCTTGAATTATATATATGTATACATTTTATTAATTATATATATATTACATTTTTCAGAAGACGCTAATCATTGCTTCAGTGTAATTAAAAAATACATATTTGTATAGACATATATCTATAAAATGATGGGACATATGTGTGACAAATTGTTGAAATAATTATTATTTTACTAAATATATTATAAATATACTTCAATACTTTAAAAATTCAGATTTTTTATCTATTTTGTTGACAATTATTACTTCATGAAATCTTCACTATTAAATTTTAATAAAAACATCTTGAAGATTGATTATGCATTGACATGCCTTCAGAGATTATACAAGAAAATCAGAATTTGTAATAAAAGAAAGAAATATACATATTAATATTTAAATCTGTTATTAAAAAAATATTATAAATTTATATATACGAAATTTATTCTTCTGATATCATTACATGTTGACATCTAAAATGTAAGGAATGCCAGTTTGGACAGTACTGAATGTTAAATAAACATGCTCCAGTTTCTATGTGTTGTGATCTTTTTCCTTTTTAACTATCATCAGGATTAGGAAAGTTATACTTTATAAAAATAACTTGTTAATTTTTAAAAATAGTTCATTACTGAAAAAATATCAAAATTACTTTTTTTATTTTCCAACCTTATTTATATTATATGCATACCAACATTATCGATTTTATAAGATTTAAATAAACTCTATAGATATAAATAAATAGTATTTCTTTCCATTTTGCTCCACTTGGAAGTACACAAAGTGTTCTAAATAAGCCAAGAAAATCTTTATTTATCCATTCATTTTACATTTTCATATTACACATATGTTATTATTTTTTTCCTTAATGAAACGTAAAAATTGTTCATGAAATTTGTATTATCACTGAATTGATGCTGATGCTGAGCTGCACCTGCAAAATACTTAGCGACATGGAAGCAACATTACGAAATGTGGCTTGATCATTAATGTGTTGAAAGTCGGCTCTCCTCCTAATACAGTGGATCAATATTTCAGAAACATTTGACACGCATCTTACAAATTAGTAGCAATATGTTTAAGATAAAATTGAAGATGTATAGAGTTAGTATTGAGTAAATGAAAGTTGCAGTTTATGTGAAAAATATAGCGTATAATTATTTCAATTCGTGTAACCAATAATTACTGTTTGGGGCGCAACTTTCACTTATCATGCATACAAAATTTGCTACAAATTATAGTCATATGATATTATTCTAAACATTCACTTTTTGTAGTTCAATCCTTTTTAGTGTTTCTTTGAATATTTTTATAAAACTGACAGTGCATTTTCATATCAAGTAGGTTTATTTGTGTTATAAGATATAGCAATAGTTAATTAAATAATAATCTATTTAAATATCAATACTAATGTTTGGATATTATTATTCATATTATTCCAATTTCCTTTTCTATCTTTCATTGCTTTGATAATTTGATGTATCAGCCTTAATAACATATGGGTATTATATTCTTATATATAGATTTATATCCTACACAATTATACCTATTATATAAAAAATGATACCACACTAAAATACAAATAGATTTTTGCATATAAATTTGTTATCAATTACTTTATATTAAAGCTAGTAAGGTGCTTTTTCAGTTTGTTTTTGAGTGTATACACACAAAATTTTTCAAGATTGGATTATTTTAAAGGATAATGTGTTGTCGATAATTATATTCATAATATGATTCACACACAAATAGTATATTATCATTTAAAAATAGATTCATGTATATATGTATATATGTGCACACATAAATACATACATACGTTTCATATACTGATATATATTTTGTAAATATGTGTATACACAAAGTTAAGTTAAAATCCATAAAGTGTAGTTAATAGATACATATGTTGCAATAAAACAAACAAAAATTCCATTTTTAATTATTATAATTATTTTATGAATTACTGATTATTATTTAATTAATAAAATATATATATTTTATTTTATTAATATAAATGATTATATATTTATTTTTTGTATAAAAATATTAATTAATATATGAAGTATAAATGAATTAAACAGAGTAAAATAAGAAATTCTAAAGAAATTTTTTAAGGCAGATACAAAGAATTTAACTTAATTCATTAGAATTCACTAGAATAACAACACATTGAAGTATTAACAAAAATTAATTGAACTACAATAGTGAATGATCGCTGTTCTACATCTGTACTTTTATGTGATGATTATTAAATCAAATATATGATTAATTGTGCCCATCTTTGTCCAATCTTTTTTTTCTTTTGACATGATGTTTTTCTTTCTCTTTTTTTTCCATCGTATCAGTTTTTTTTTCTGTGGACATATCATAAGAATTTACTTAAAATCTTAACTGCTTTTCAGTGCAATGCATGATGATATACATGTTTGTAAGTTTTTTGCGTGAATTGTTAAGCAATTTTCCACAAAAACTTACAATTTGCAATTTCACAAGGCCATACTCTCAACCCAATATCTAGTAATGTTTAATTGGAAATATTTAAAAAAATATAGAAATTTTCTTTCTTTTTTTAGCTAAAAAATCTGCAGTACAGAAAAATGCAATATATAGAAAAATAGAGTGAAATAAGATATTATATTAGTGCAAGATGTTATTTCACAATTTCATATGTATTGCAATATTCTTCACTAATATAGATTTTCATGGCCAAGTGTCAATATATTAATATAAGTGTCAATGTACTAATGTATCTAGATATCGATCTAATTACTTTTAATGAATAAAACGAATAGATAATTAACTTTTTCACTTTTTTTTGTTTTATTCCATGTACAAATTATTAAGTTTGATCATAGATACATCAGGTTAGTGTACTAAAGTACTAAGAGTCAAGTAATAGTTAGTGCTTAATAATAATTTTGCTGTCTATATTGCATTAAGGAGTGACCAGTAAATTATATTTTTTAATATCTTTATTATTTTATCTTTTTTTGTTTATATTAATATGTTTTATTGTCGAATTATTACAATTTAAGTATATTCTGGCCCATCCTTGAGTTATAACAAAATGCATGACGTTCAGAAAGCGTTCAGAAATTATCTTTTTGTTTATATAATTCTTTATATCGTTCTTATTTAACATCTTATTGTATTTTTTAGAACGTTACAATACAGCATTTAATTACAATCAATCAGTACAAAGAAGAATGTAAGTTTTTCATACTTTTTATACTGAAACACTTTCTTTGAACAATAAAAAATTATATATACATACATATGTATATATATATATATATATATATATATATATATATATGTATATATATGTATGTATGTATGTACATATATGTGTGTATGTGAGTGTTGTTTAGAATAAAAACTTACCTTAACACTCTCTTGTAGAACAAAGGTTGCCAAACTTTAAAATGGTCAATATGGCATATAAAAACCGCGTCTGTAACTTCTACAAAGGAAAAAAAGAAACATGAAATAATAGAATTTGTAAGAGAGAATAGATTGTTTTTTTCAAAGAATAAAGATATGTTATATAAATTATAAATGTATTCATTAAAAAAAGTCAAAATTAATTATTACCTAGGCCGCCTTGTAGGTCTATATCCATAATATGCACTACCGCGAATAATTCCTCTAGCCATACCTCGATAGCCTCTTGCACCTCTGGGACCCCTAGTAAATATACAGAAAATAAGATAATAATAATACTAGAAATACTACAAATTTAAATAACTTATTTATATGTAAGATTACTTGCTACTTTTGTTTTTATAATTTATAAAAGTTTATATATTGTTATAATTATATATAGTATGTATATAAAACAGAATATTACCTATTTGTCATAGAGAAACCAGGCTTATTTGTTCTTTTAGGCATTACTTTAATTTGACGACCCCTGAACATAGATTCGTCCATGGCCATTGCGGTTTGTACAGAGTCGCGTTCGGCAAATTCAATGTAAGCAAAACCTTTGGGATGCCCGTCAAATTTATTACACAAAATTGTCACTCTATTGACACTGCCACAGCCATGAAAATGTTGCTCTAATTCTTCTGCTGTAGCTCCATAATCAACCTATATGTATGTAAAATATTGATTGAGAATGTGAAAGTAATACGTTATATATATATAATATTGCAGATTTTAAAAAACATAGGTCAATTACATTAAACTTACATTGCCAACATAAATGGATCGATTATCAACTTCTGTTTTATCTTCCGATGACATATTTAATGGACTTGCTGAAATTAAATATGATAAGAAAACAATGTTATTACCAAATATAACTGAAATGTGTAATGATGAAAAAGTGGATTCAGTTCAACAATTTTATTTCGCAATAGAATAATCGTTTGAAAATCAGCAAATTTGAATTTAATTCTGGTTTATGCTTCCTCAAAAGCTGAAGTTAAAATTTGAGTGAGTGTATCTGATTATAAAAGAACAAAATCTAATAATATAAAACACACAATATCTCATTGCGAGAAAACATAAAACTACCATACTTTATTTCAATTAGAACAGAAACCCAAAAAGAAAATATAAATCTGAACCAAAGTGCATAATATTAAGTGTATGTGTAATTTATATATATATATATTTCATAGAAAATATAAGTGTTGTAAACTTATTGGTACCAGTTGGATTACCCATATTCATTTGTTTGTCCACTTCAGATTGGAGTTGTTTTAATTTCTCTGCTTCTTCCTCCATTTCTCTCACTCGTGCTTTAATTGCTTCTAATTCCTAAATTGTAAGTAATATTTCATAAGTTAAGTAACTTTGCCCAAGAAAGCTTTTATTATAATTCTATATTGTTTCTTACAATTGGTATAAAGATAACGATTACTTACAGGATCATCAATATTTGCTTCATTTAATTCACGTTTAACACCATCACATTGCATGATAGCATCTCCATCTTGACCATTTTCAAGACCATCAAGACCATCAATATGGTCAGTAGCCAAAAGATCTGATTCGGACATTTCTGAAATGTAATAATAAAAATTAATATTATCTTTGAATCACTTGTTTAGAGACTTCTGTCTTTAAAAAACATTATATTTGTTACTGTGTAAGCAACAGAGTATTATAATGTTTAATTAGAATTTATCATCAATTAATGACACATTTTTTAATAATGCTAAGTTTATAATATATAATTGCAATATAAAAACTAGACAAAGTGTCGAAATTTGTAAAATGATAAATGGGAAAGTTAAAAGAGCATTTATAAATATTATATATTACACAATTATTGATCTATTACTATATACATATATATATATATATATATATATATATATTGTACATTTTTAATTTTAAATAATCAAATCAGTTATATTTGTAGTAATACATTTTTAAATAATTTATTTATTCCTTAAAAATGTAAAAGTTGGATCAATTTGAATAAGATAAAAACAGATAAAACAATTTTAAAAGATAGATCTCTTTTTTTAAATTATTTATTTCCAAGTAAGTTTAATATTACTTATCAGAAAAACATAAATTAATGATAATCAGAAATTATGACTACTTAAATTAAGTTATTTATACTTTCAAATAACTGCAGCACAGATTATTAGTAATGAAATAATAGATTATAAGAAATAAAAATAATGCTAATAAAATATCACAAGCAGAAAAATAGAAAAATATTCAGCTAAAGAATTTTGAACAGAGCAACAATTGAGAGATCTTATTTAGGTTATTGATAACAATGAAATAAGTGAGATTTGTAGATGTTTTAAATATAATTACAGATTTTACAAGATACTTTAATAATTAATATTACAAAAATTATTACAATTTTTCATTAACAAAAATTTACTGTTACAATTAAAATAATTATTTACAATTTTATCAAAATTTTTATAGCTCGCTTTCAAAAATTGTTACTGAATCAAATTTACAAGACATGATTCTTTTCTTTACTATCGATCCTTTTATTCTCATACTACATGATTCAATTGAATCGTATATCAAGAAAGACATTTTAACCCCTTATCTCTTATATTATATTTCATATTAATAGAGTTTCTATCAGTATAAAATAAAGAAGATATGTTAATGTTCTAAATTGATGCCAAGGTGCTTTTTATAATTATAGATATAAATTTGTTTCAATCTTTTGAGTTTTTCTTAAAAACGGTTTATTTATCTCCAGGAATGACTGTATAATTAGATTAAATCCGATAAAACTAGACTTGTAAAACAAGCATATTTATTATTTTCTATAAAAATTGCAACAATGGCTTTGTTCCTAGTCTGATAACTAAATAAAAATTAATAAATGCCTCTGGTTAATTACATAAAAGTGAGCAAAGTAAATCAAACTGAGTCAAAGATGCCAAGATGCTTTTTTATAATTATAGATACAAATTTGTTTCCATCTTTTGAGTGTTTTTCAAAAATGATTTATCATCTATCGCCAGGAATGACTCTATAATTAGATTAAACCTGATAAAACTACATACTTGCAAAACAAACTTATTCATCATTTTCTATAAAAATTGCAATGACTCAATTCTTAGGCTGAAAACTAAATAAACATTAGTAGACGTTTTAAAATTAATACACAAAAGTGAGCAAAGTAAATCAAACTGAGTCGAAGATTTACTTTAATTTAACGAGCAAATTTATTATAGTGCGTGCCTGGTATCTATCCTTCAAGAATATTATCAAGAAATTATCTCGTGCATTATATATCGATAAACAATTGATACGTATTATGTACTACATTCATGAGGGATGATTAATAACGTACGTGTATATTCAATAGATGTTCAATAGATGTGATATAAATTACCGAAATATCGCTTCTAAAGCGACTTGCACCGCTACTTTTGCCTCGATAAAGTCAGTAAACGAGAATGATCGAAGAGAATGATACGCGACGGATGTGACCACACTTATAGGAAGAACAGAGGGAACGCAACGAGTTTGACATTTAGAATGATGGCACACTTGTCCTCCTAGAAATTCTCTAGCCGATCACCAATCGGTACGTTTGGTCGTTCTCTGCACTCGTGAAAATAGAGCCGGCGACGTCTGTCACGTGACAAGAAGCAACACGGATAGCCAATCAACTTGACGCGTTTCTTTCAGAGTGGAAAGCCGATTGGCTGATTGTGTCTCTTCTCGCGCTTCCGCTTTCTAGTGCGCAGAAGTCACTAAAGGTCCTATTACACTACGAATTGTGGACTTAATCGCGATTATCTATAAAATGCGAATTGACCAATCAGGGAAAAATGTAATTTTCGAATTTTACGAGATTATTTATCATAAAAATGTTAAATAAAGCATTTTAGTTAAAAAAAGTAGTTTGACGTTTTCAGAAAGATTATTTACATTACTAAAAAAAGCACCTCTCTCTTTCTCTCTCTGAAGATGTTTTCGAAACATCGTTTCTTATCAAGTATATATGTGTTATCCACATGTGTGTGAAAATACATTACATATATATATTTATAAATTAAATAAAAAAAAATCATGTTATTTAAAAAGTGATTTTATCAATAGTCGAAAAAGAGATTTGTCATTTTAGTTTGCGAAATGGACGTGTGTATAGATTGAGTGATGTTCATATAAAGATTTGTGTATACATAGATTTTTACAATATTAGTAACATTCATTTTATTTTTAATTGATTCTCTGCACATGAAACTATAATTCAATCAAGCAAATGGAGAAGAAACCAAAAGTTATTGTCTTTGATTTAGGTAAACATAATTTAGAGTGTAAGAAATTTCCAAAAATTTTGATTGTATATATATAATACTTGCATGCTTTTATTATTACTAGAATTAATTAGAATTATTAAGAATAATTTCAAAATATTAAATTTCAGATTATACTTTGTGGCCATTTTGGGTTGACACTCATGTAACTCCTCCATTTAGAAGAGGGTTTGTATATTTTTTCCTTTGCATAAATAAAAAAGGAAAATAGTGTGTAATAATTTATCGGACTTAAAAGGATAAAATTTTAGGACACAGAATAAAATAGTAGATGCACATGGTCATACAATAAAATACTATACTGATGTACCTGATATATTAAAACAGTTATCAGAGAAAGGATATGAACTTGGTATTGCATCACGTACATCAGAAATAAGTGGTGCTAAACAATTATTAGATTTATTTGGCTGGAAGAAATATTTCAAATATATTGAAATATTTCCTGGTTGCAAAGTTACACATTTTTTTAGTAAGTTCTGTGCAGAACTTTTAAATTTGTTTTATAAAACTATAATTTAAACGAATATAATTTTCAGCATTCAAAAGAGCTCTCAAGTTGATTACAAAGATATGATCTTTTTTGATGACGAGTCCAGAAATATTGTGGATGTTGGGAAACTTGGAGTACATGCTGTATTAGTCAGAGATGGTGTAACTCATGATGTTATAAAAGGTGCTTTACAATCATTTAGTAAATAATGATTTTTTTTTTTCTGCTATTAGTTTATTCATATTAATAATTATATATATTTAATCTGTCCGGTTTAGCCAAATTGGCTACACTAGTTCAGAGTTTTATCTTTTCACACAACATTGGAAGGAAAAGATAAATTTTGAAGTAGTGCAGCCAGCAGTTCAGCAAAACAAACAGGCCTATATTATTAATGTGAAAATTTAATTTATAATTATATATTTACATGTATTATGATAATTATATATTATTAGATATAATTATCATAATAGATAATAAAATATATAATAATTATGTATGAATATATAATAATTTATATTTTTTTTAATTTTGTTGATATATATCTATCTATATATATATATATATTTAATTATATAATTTAAATTAATAATTTATTTAAAAAGTTAGTTTTTTAAATATTATTTAAAAAATAAATTTTTTTCAATAATTACAAATAGATAGTACAAATTGTACAGATTTATCACAATAAGAAAATATTTAATTAGTCATTCTGTGGTAGTATTGTACTGGACTTTTGATGATAACATCAATATTATCTTTGCATAAAGTCTCAAAAAAGCACTGCAAAGAATTCCTGGATTTTTAATTGACATGTTACTCGTAAGTTTGTTTGCTTCATCTTCTGTTAATGAAGTACATAAAAGATTTTTGAGTGTCTTTACATTAAAATCTTTGAAAGGACAACCACCTTCGTATGTTGCTCCACTAATACCAGTCTGCAATAGTTTTAATTTTTAAAATTATTTTAATATATAAAAAATTACTTTTGTGTTAGAAAAGATTTTATGAAATTTTTATACTTACACAGATTAAATTACAGTCAGGCGTCTTATAATTTCTTCGAGATCCTTCTAAGCCATATAAGTGTCTGATGCTATATATGAATTTTTTTTCATTTGATTGCCAATTATGCAAACATACTGAAGAACAAGAATGGGGCTTAGAATATTCTTGCTTCCAAAATATAATTGAATCTTCTAGTTCCATCCCAATTTCTTTTAGAAAAGACTGTAGTATAAGCGAGCATAATGACTAAGACGATGTCTGTTTCTTAACACAGAATGCAAATGTTGCATACATAAAGGAAATTTTTGTGCTTCTGTATCTATATTATCAATAGTTATTTTTCCATGAGCAGTATCTTTCTTAAAAAGATAGGATTGCACTTTTTGATTTAAAATATGAAATCTAAGATCATGTTTTATGGTTTGTAGTGCTTGTCTCCTCATGATATTTAATTCATTAGTTACATAATTACTAAATAATGATTGAAGTACTTTTTTCCAGCTTGAACAATATGTAATAACATTTCCATTTTTGATAATTAATTCTCTTTCTTTCACCAAGTTTGGAACCAGTTCAAATCTCACTGAAAAATAAAATAAAAACTATTACATATTTACTTTAGAAACTTTGTATATTTTATACATATATTTATATATATTATAATGCTCACCTTCATATTGAAAAGCAGTACAATCATGACAATTAGATACCAAATGTTTAAAAATTAAGGGCTGCACGTAGAATTTGCATAACTCAATAAGAGTTCTTTCAGTTGCATTCTTCTCACTTTTGAATATTTGCATCTTCCATATTATTTGTTTCAATAATTTGTGTAGTTGTCTAGGTAGTATATTATCTAATCTATGTTTAAATAACAATGATTCTTTGGTTATCCAATCTAAATATAAATCTGATGATGCACAAGCTAATAATCTAAAACAAAAATAGCAAATTAAAAATTGGATTTTACATCCTTTATAATTTATAATCAATTCCTTTAGTATAAAGTGTCTGCTATACAGTTTTATTTATCTTAAATATATGTACTTTTTCTTATTATTAATTGATAAGTATTACCGTAATACAAAATGTCCAATTTTATCATAAGTAGAATTTTCTAATAAGTATTCAAAGTTTCCATCAAATTCATTGGCACATCCTTCATATAGGTGTCGTAAATAATCTAATCTAGTTAAAATGCAGTCTTCCAAAATATGAAAAGATATCTCTCCATTTGGTGGTACAATATAAAACATATCTGTATCTACATCAATCATATTAGATAATTCTAGAAATTATACATGGGAGATAAAGCCTGCAAAATCAAAAAATATATATTAATTATAATCTTAATTACAAATCTAAACATTATAATAATTTACATAGAAAAAATTTATATAGAAAAAAGAAATATGTAAAACAGTATACCCAACTTTTTCTTTTTTTCTTAAGGAATTTAATAATTGTTTTGTTTCGTATATTTTATCAAGTTTTATGTATTCATCATATATGCATAAAAATTTTCATTCAATCTTTTTCTCACAATTTAATATTTTATTTAATCTTATATATTCATGATTTTTCTGTATTTATTTCTATAGTTTCATATATAAATTCTTAAGGTAATTAATTCCCCGGTCATTATAGTGAATGACATTTTTTTCAACATAATTTAATTATTGATACATGTCATAACGAATAATAATACACATATATGTATGTACACAAGCCATTCATTTACATAAACATTGACTAGATAATATGAAAGACGTGCCAATGAAAGGTCGAGAGTTGTGTAGCCTTGGAAATTAGGCTTTAGGGTGGCATTACATTTGTGGACAAATTTTAAGCGTAGTGATTGGCTACAAAATACTATACTGCAGCCAATCAACGCGCTTCAAAAGTTTGTTTTTATCTCATTTATACAGCAACACTCGACAGGTAAGCAGCGACACAACGTAGTTCCACATTTAATTTTCGAAAAGTTATTATACATACAACATGTATTAAAAATATTACAGAATCATTATTTTCTCTGGCGATTAATGAGTATCATTTATTCTCACAATTATTTAACTTGTATGATTAAATCGAGGTGATAATTTTGTTTGAGATATATTTTGCATGTAAATTCGATGTGAAAATATCGATGGAAAATAGAATTATAAAATCATTAAAAACATAATATTATGAAAGTTTGTGTGATTTTCAAATTGTTTGTTACTAATTTACTAATTTGAATTTGATATTTTTTGTTATAGATTATAGAGGACCGGCGCGGCGTTACGTCGTATCGAATGAAGTTGTCGATTTATATCGATAATGAAACATATCGAAGTATCGCGAGCATGAGACGATAGTGCAGTCTGAATCGACATGCATTCGAGTGAGAGGTAAGCTCTCATAATTCGTATTATATTTCAATCATTTTCGAGTGATGTACGACATATATAATTGTTTATACGCGTGTAATCGTAATTAACCATTGTTAATTATTATTTGTGCGGCGATATTCGAACAAGTAGGCAGCGATGCGACACGCTCGTATATATGAGCAAGTACATTATTCGACATACACAGAAACACATACATATATCCATTAACTGTGCGGGGTTGCGTTAATTTTCGAGACGCGATCGTGAAAAATAACACAGTCATAAAGTACAAGTGATTACAATCATCATTTGTCATGTATCGAAATTATTTTAATAATTTTCGAACGCGTTGTGTGTAAATATAAATGTTTGCACTACGATCATGATTTGTTATTAATTTCTACAGTTGGCGCGCATGCGAATTAGTATCTAGGAATGCCGCAAGAGATCGCGAGTTGTCCAGCTTCGCGCGCTTTTCCCGCGTTTTTCTCCCGCGATGATCAAGTGTGCGGTCGCCATTAAATCGGAAACGCTACACAAGTGTTGCGCGCTTATTAATTGATCATTAATTTGAGTGCGATTAGTACGGGCGCGCGTAATCGTAATTAATTATTTTTTTCAAGTGCGCGTTTAATTGTAATACATTGTTTTTGCTAGACTGCCACGAAGAAATAGCACCAGAAATAAAAGAGGAGAAGGAGGAGGAGGAGGAGGAGGTGTGGGGCAGCATCAAGTTATGGTGGGGTTGACATGAGGTAAATAATTTATTATTTATTTATTATTATTTGTAACAAATTCACAAAGTGAAAGAAAAATTTTAATACGTGCAATAATTCAGTTCGTTTACTTAAATGATTTAAACAAATAAGAGATTTTAAATAAAATTATATAAAAATTTATTTATGCATAAAAAAATTTCCAAAAATTTTATAAAATTACTTAATTATATGTATCTATTTTATTATTGTGCGCGATGAATTTTATATTCAATTTGTACACAATTTTCTGAAATATTAAATTATATTTAAGCACTGTTACAATTTAAATTTAATTTGTATGTTACACAGATTAATAGTTAATGCACCAGCAAATTGAGAAGAATTAAAGGAAAGGTATCAAGCGTCATAAATCTTTCTCTCTGGAGTGAGTATATTTATTACTGATTTATTAGTTACATTAAAATCAAAATTTATCAAATTTTTAAATTATTTTTTATTATATGCATACTCTCTAAATTTCTTGAAGTGAAAACTGAACAAAAGAGTGGAATTTTACTCTAGAAGAGTGGAATCTCATTCTTTTGGAGTAAAATTCCACTCTTTTGGAATGAGATTGTTCAGTTTTAACTCCAAGAAATTTAGAGAGTAGAAAATAAAATATAATATAATAATTGTTTGGAAAAAATGAATTATTTTGAGCGCTACTATAATTTTTTTGTATTTGTATATTACAGATCAATGTAATTGATGACAAATTGAAAGAAGAGGCAGAGATCTAGGAAAAACACTGGGTGTCAGAAAAGGATTTCTAAAGTGAATATTTATTATGTATTTATTATTTATTTAGTTGCATTAAATCAAAATTATTATAGTTGTACACTAAAGAATGACTAAATTAATACATATTTAGTTCAGCACTGCCAAATGAATCTTTTTTTTGAAACAAATATTTGTTTTGAAAAAGATTTTCTTATATTAAATAAAAAAATATTTTTCATATCAAATATAGTTTCAAATAAATGATTTATGGCAATATTGAAATAAATATTTATTTGAATTAAATAATTTTTTTAGTGTATTAAATTAAAACTTATAAAATTATTGATATATGATTTATTTATTTTTTTATTGCATGCAAGAAAATTAAATTTAATATAATAATAATTGTATGAAAAACATTATTATGGGTGTTACTACAATTTTTATTTTAATTGTATGTTACAGATCAATGTGTAATTGACGACAAATTGAAAGAGGTCTGGAAAAGTCTTGGGTGTCGGCAAAGTAATCCTAATGTGAGTATTTATTATGTATTTATTATTTATTTAATTGCATTAAATCAAAATTTATAAAATTATTTATATATTTTTTCATTTAATTGATTTTTTTATTGTACGCATAAAAAATCAAATCTAATATAATAATTGTTTGAAAAATGAATTATTTTGGGCGTTACTATATAATTTTTATTTTATATATATATTACAGATCAACGTAATTGACAAATTGAAAGAGGTCTGGAAAAGGCTTTGGGCGTCAGCAAAGCAATCTTAATGTGAGTATTTATTATGAGTAGGTATTTAATGTTAGTATTTAATTGCATTAAATCAAAATTTATAAAATTATATATTTTTTATTTAATAATTTTTTTATTGTATGCATAGAAAATTAAATTTAATATAATAATAATTGTTTGAAAAAATGAATTATTTTGGGCCCTACTATAATTTTTATTTTATTTGTATGTTACAGATTAACGTAATTGACGACAAATTGAAAGAGGTCTGGAAAAGTCTTGGGTATTAGCAAAGCAATCCTAATGTGAGTATTTATTATGTATTTATTATTTATTTATATATTTTTTATTTAATTATTTTTTTATTGTATCTATAGAAAATCTAATATAATAATTGTTTGAAAAATGAATTATTTCGGGCGCTACTATAATTTTTATTTTATTTACATGTTACAGATCAACACAATAGCAGTCAACTCCTGTTGTTCATCAGTTGATAAGTTTTAATTATTTTATTAGCGAGGTAACGGTTTTTATATATGAAAATGTAGATTTTGCAAATTGTTGATTGTAGATTGTAGATTGTAGATTCGTAGTTCCGTTACCTCTAGATATATTAGATATACTAGATATATTAGAAATTATAATAGATTGAGATAAAAATTTCACTTTAAAAAGAATGTTGTAAGCATCTAAGGTATTCGAATGCCATGTCGCGCGTTTATAAATGCGGAGTTTCGTGCAAAATGCCGCATGCTTATAAATTCGGAGTTTCGTAGAAAGTTTCGCGCGTTTAGTGCGGGAATGTCGTGTAAAGTATCGCGCGTTTATAAGTGCGGGAGTTCCGTGTAAGTATCGCGCGTTTAGTGCGGGAGTGTCGTTTGTTTAAAGTTTAAAGTATCGCGCGTACAAAGCAAAGGACGACAGACTATTCCTGACCAACCTGAGAGGATGAACTGGGCATCAGGCGCCGGCGGAGCAACCTTGGGGTAAATATTTATTATTTATATAATATTTATTATAAATTGCATGCACGTTAATTTTATTTCTATTTTTAAATGATTTAAACAAGAGAAAATTAGAAAAAAATACTTTTGATACATAAAAGTTTATAATAATGTGAATACTTATTTAGTCAGCTCTTTTTAATTTTTAAAGCCAAATCTCCACTTGATTCCTCTCGACCAATAGAGCCAAACGCGATGTTATTGCGACAATTATGAAGGAAAGAACATTTTGGAAAGGAATTTGAATCCTATGGTTGGGATCTCAAAATTCCCCTGTTCCTTCGTTTGTTTGGCTCTATTGGTCGAGAGGAATCAAGTGGAGATTGTGGCTATAAAAGTTTATATTAAAAATAGTCTAAAAAATTTTTATTTTAAAGTGATAATTATATATTTGTTGATTATTGTACACGTTGAATATAAAATTTAATGAGTACAATGATAATTGTTAGAAATATTAATTATTTTACGCTGCTATAATTTGAATTCCATTTATGTTACAGATCAACGTAGATGCAGAGTCAACTCCGCTGCTTCGCATCGATTTGGTGAGTAAACTTGTATTTTATTACGTAGGTACGAGGTAACGGTTTCGTAAAGATTGGACTATAAACATGTAGATTTAGATTGTAGATTGTAGTGTAGACTGTAGTTAATTCCGTTACCTTAAAATAAATAGATTATAATAAACTAGAATACAAATTTCTGGTTTATTGTTATCATTATTATGATACCAATTATTATTATACCAATTTATTATTGGTATTTATATACTATCATTGATTTGTCTATTCTGCAATGGTTTCTCGAATTGAATAGATTCTCATTCAATGTTTTGAATTGTTAAAAATTGCTTTTATGCAATATTAAAAATTATTTGAAAATCTTATCGTGATCACTGAACTCTTTTAGAACGAGTTTAGAACGAATCTTTGGGGTGGGATAATGAATGAATTAATTTTTAGAAAAGGATACAAAGAGTTTGGTATACTCCTCTTTTTGTCAGGAACTCACTGATCGATATCATTCTAATATCATAGTAAAAAATATTGATTTCATGCATATTTTTACAAATTGGAAAAAAGATAAATTTCCTGGACAGTACGTATTGCTGCATCGTTTTTTATTATTAAATATTTGACGAGAAATGCTTTCAACTTAGGTAATATTAATGTAAAAAGAGACAGAGTCCATCAACCCTGCATATCCTTTTCTATAAATTTGACTTCGATTTTTTATAAAGTAGTATAGGAAAAACTCGCTTCAATATACTATAAAGCTCAATGGTCGTGTGCCCTTTCAACAAATATTATTGCTAGAGAAAAAAGTAGTGAACCAATATAAGTATGCATGAATAATAAAAAAAGAAATATATGCGGAAACAAATAATATGAAAAACATTTTTTTAAGAGAAAAACTTTATTCTTGCGTGCGCGTATATCTTAGAGTGCACGATTATTGATTATTATATCAGCAAGAGGACCATATACAGTAAAGCTCGTATTAAATTACGCATTGAAGAGGGAAATTGAATATTGAAATTTAACCAGGAGAAGGAAATTTTAGTTCCTTTTGTTCTGATTAGACTTTGATCTTCAATTTTCAATGCGTAATCTGATATAGATTTAAGGAAAGTGACAGGATATATTTTTATGAAATAAATAGTATAACTTTTCATTCCACTGTCCAATACAAATAGATTTTATCAGTGCTTCATTGATAATTGATAATGAAACTTACAAGTGGCATGTTGTTTTTTTTTTAAATGAGATACATACGTGATTTATATAAAAGATGCATTCAAGTCTTTCTATAGACGCACAATTTACGATTTTGATAGAATTTATTCACACTGTGTACGCAGCGCGATCGCTCGAATTTAATAATTTTTTCTGGCACATTTAAAATAGATAATTATATAATTAATTTTTATGAATGATTAAAATTGATGATTTATTTTAGAAATTCGATCTCTTATCTGATTGCATTAATAAGACTGTTGCACCTTTTCTCATTTATATTAAAGCAAGAATAATCAAAGAACAGCACACGTTACATTTCGTGTTCAGAGATACACTTTAATCGTTATAAAGTGTCATACATGACTAGTTTCTAAATGTATAGTGTGTGTATATAAATATATATATATATACACACACATACACACACGACTACTGAGTAACATGTATACTTTTATGATTTGTCCCTTAATTGTCGTTTTTATATTATACAAATAATTCCTAGATCGTTGTACATTGTTACGTTACCGATCCGCGCTTACACGCAAAATTTACTTACATCTCTTCACGATTGCTGCCTTATACGACTAATTAAAATATATAGATATATTATAAATACTTGTATTTATATATATTTATATTTTCCCCGTTTATATATAGTCTACTTAAATCGAGTTTGTTCAAGCTTTATTACTCATAGACAATCTGCTTGATATTTACAGAGATTAGATACAAAATTATAAACAGTTCTTAGTACAAAATAATTTTATGACTATAACGATCAAGGTTCGATAGCGTAGAATAGACATGGGCAACTCATCGTGGCCGGTGGTCAGTTTTATTATAATTCTCTTTTCTTATTAAAGAACGAACAATTTTGTTAATTTAATCTCGATACTTTCGGATAATTTTTAAGAAGAAAATGTTTTTTTATAAAAAAATATAATGCAAAATATGGCCGAGTCGAGTGATAGAGCCGTGTGTTGCCCATATCTAGATAGAAGATACAACTAGATGAGCTCTTCCCAGTTTTCCCACAATTACCTGTAGATTCCTCGATATTCCAGCTTAGAGGTCAACAATAAGATATATCGAAATCATATTTCTCATGTGCTCGCGTAAACGAAATATTCATACAACGATTGTGTATTAATTTCATTACCACGATTTTTAGCCGTAGCGATATCACTTTGTACGATATATAAGTCATTGTTGTGAAACTGTGAAATAATTTTCATTTCAAAAATTAAACATAATGATCGTATAAAATATACGAATGAAAGATATTAACGATGATATCATGATACGCACAATTAATGTGTCGTTATTAATAGAAATACAATATTTATTTTTGTTCTGAAAACATGATTATCGGATCGTGCAAACTATCTCTCTCTCACATGAATTGGCATATTATTATATTATATTAATAATATAAAAAGCACAATATTTTTTTATCTTTTTTGAGCTAATAGAATTATACAATATATTAAAATTATATTCGACTGAAATAAAAATCAAGGGTGTTTTATGAAGGGATTATGATCATACTTATTATAAAAATAATTATGAAATGCCAATTCCGTTGATTATAGTGTTTCAAGAAAATCGCGATTAGTGCTAAAAATATTTTCTAAAATTCCGAGGCAAGCATGATTGTCGCTCATACGCGTTTAAAAATATATATCGAAGGAATTAGCAGTGTGACATGATAAAGATTTAGGGAGATATCGCTGCAATCAAAGTTGAGCTTATCAAGACGTAAGGCCTTTAAAAAAATAAAATTTTCTATCGATCTAGCGTGAATTTTATAATGCTTGAACAAAATATCCGATTATTACTTGCTTCTGATTTTCTGATATTATACGATTACCTCGGTGATATCATTGACAGAGCTCGAATTGTCTACAAAGGATATAATTAATCATCGTTGGAAAAAGGGCACGCTAGGTAGAAATAAGTTAGTAAGTCTAGATTATAATAGCAAATCTTTACATAGAGAAAGGATTAGGTATACTTTGCTTGCATTTTATTTCATTTTATTCACTTCTTTCTTTATGTCCGACTTGCAGTAAATTATGAAGCAACTGCACGATTAAGAAACTGCTAGATCCTAACATAAAGTCTTGTGATTCTTTACCACTTTTTATAGTTATCTCACATTTCAATCTTAAAAAAAATTAAACAAATATTATATGATCTTTTATTTGAGTTATGATTTATAATAAAAATAAAGATATATTCGAATAATCCTTTCGCTAGCAAGATTTTCGAATTGGTAGGTACAGAGAGATAGGTACGTAGGAATATACTAAATTATCACATGAGTAGACAAGTAAGTTACTCGTTAGCAGTAAGGGGCAACAATATAGCCAAAGGCAGCGTTATGCTTATGTTGGCGAATCTAAACGCAACTACAATTCATTCTCTATTATCATTCTAAAAGTAATGGCAGTCTGCTTCGGACTAAAAGTGTATACCAACAATAGGTATTATTGTTTTCAACTCAGTCACAATCGCGCGGTGCGAAAAATCGATTGGCCAAAGTTTCGCGATGGCACGAAATTATATGTCTGTTGACTCGGCACTTTTATACAAAATTTAAATTATGTACTTAGAATGTTATACAGTTAATGCATAATCGATCAGCTATTACTATTTACCTCTGGCAAGATCAAAAATTGGTATTGCCTATCTCTATTACCTCGTAATCCATACGCGAAATTCGCATTGACCGTGATTTGAATTCTTTCACTCGCCTTAAGACATCTTTCGATCTCGGTGATATAGAAGCAATTCCAGTTACGTTTAAATTCAACGCGTGTATTTTAACTACATATGGCTATGCCTCCGTATTATCTACTCCTTATGCGGTAATACATTTTAATTTATATAAATAGTATTTTAATGATATAACGGTAACATCGCGCCTATTCGCTAAATGTCGCGTAAGTTATAATAATAGTATCCATCTGATATATGCACGGAACTTAAAAGTCGATTAAGAAAATTATCGAAGTCGAGTATGTACGATGGAGATAATGACATGGCGAGTTCATTGTTAACTTTAAAGTTTAAAACGCTCGTTACGGCTACTTTCTATATTCTCTTCGCACTTTTTTTATTCGATAAGAAAAAACATTTCGATATGTTGAACTCGTCAACTTATTACCTCGCTATGAACATTTTGTCGGAAGCTAAACAATTCTCGTACGTTTTCTCACATTAATATCAAATTGCAAGCGAATGTATAACGCTCTCAGGGACAGTTTCGATTTTTCTGTCTGTTAAATTTTCATTTATCATTCCCGAAAAATGCAATGATAACGTTCCTTACTACGGTACGTCTATCTGTACAATATCCTAATTTTTCATTGATCCCGCCTATCATGTAAAGTTACAATTATGATGTGTCATAGTCACATGATACGTAGTCTATAATCGTCTTTTAATGCAGAATAGATAAAATTACCCTTCGTCTACTTGCGTTTACAACTTACGATAATTCGTCTAGTATTATGATATTAACGAATCCCACTCACATACAAATTGTTAACTGCAATTGCAATTAGTAATATCGTTCGAATAAACATGTATTATTGAGAAATCTTTACAGTCATCTCTGGCTGTCTTTCAAGTTATTTAGTATTCTCACGTATGCTACATTTCACACGGATGTGTTCACGAACAAAAATAGCGTTAGAAAGACGATTAATTTCTTCATGATCGAAGATAACGTTATTAATACTACACGATAATCACTCGTCGTTTCGCGATATGTTTCGTGACGATAAAGAATTTCGTGATGTAAATCACATGTAGAGTAGTCTCACAAATAGATTTAAAATATCTAGGCGATATAATATACGCGTTTAAAGAGAATAAAACGGAAGGATTTATAGACAAAGAGAAAGAGAGGAGAGAGAGAGAGAAGGGTGGGAAGGGAAGAGAGGAAGAAAGAAAGGGAGAAAACAGGTAGCCATACGTTCATAAAACACTCAATGTTTTACGATTAACTTGAACAGGTGTCGTAGCGTTTAATATCGTAGCTGCTATATTGCCGTACGTCGATGTGATTCACATTTTTGCATTAAATCCTTAATCGAAATGATATAATCCCAAAGGAATTCTAATCTTATTCTTCTTAAGTAACGATCCCCTTTCTATTTGCGTAATATTTGTCGCGACTAGTGTAGATACCCACTCGTGCTGAGGAATGTTCACAACTGTATTACAATTACATGGTATTGCTCCTAAATTCTCGACGATTGCGAGACAATGAATTCTCTTCGATGATCTCGCAAAATATCCGTCTCTTCGATAGCAGATCGGAGATTTTCCACAGAACAGCTATCTACGACGGGCAAGCTTTTATTCTGCTCTCTCGTCCGATTGTCGTATTCACAGATTCGTATCCGTCTTTGCCTTTCTTTACATTCGAGAAAGAATTCTACCCTTATTTTGCTACATAAATCGTTGCACAATGCAGTCGCACGAGTACTCGCGTCCGATGTTCATATTCTTGCGACGTCATGTTCTAGATCGATAAGATATGCACTTTTGTTAGTAAGAATTTCACGCAGCGTAAGTCGTAAGCACGCGATAGCTCAAATTATTCGCTTACAACGAATATTCCGATATAGTGAATCCTCGGCTCTCTCTCGCGTTTACTTCTCTTCTATCTATTCTAACTGTATTTTCTGTCCGTTATTACTTCGTGAAAAAAATATGCAAATCGAAATAAAATTGAAGAACGATCGATTTCTGCCATAAAATTCCAAATCCCAATCCCGTTTCGTTGACAGGCAATAAAATTCCATCGTTGTACTTACATTTTCGATGTCGCGATATATATTTGTCTCCTTTCCGTGCTCTCATTTTTTTTATTTCTCCCTTTAGTTGTTCTCACTCACTCGTTGTTCGCTTCCTGCAGCTCTTCGAATGATGACGTTGCCTGTCATTACACGCTCGTCGACCCGTTTCAGAACCGAAGTTGTTCTGATTCGCGGGATGATTATTGAAAATGTCGCGTTTGCTCAAGTTTGGGGCTCAATATCAGGATGTTGGAGCGTATCCAAGATTTTTCCGCTGCAGAAAGAGCGATATTTCACGGAAAGTCGGTCTCTCGTTCTCCTCTCGCCGCCAACATTCGAGCATCAGATCGTAGATGTCCTTGGAGGACGCAGTGGGTCGCGGTAGATAATCGAAGACATTTCTCGAATCTTCCTTGCAATTATCTTCGGAATTAACGTTGTTGCAATCGGCGGCATGATGCAGCTGCCGTAGACTCTGCACCACTTCTTCGTCGGACAAGTGCTCGTAAGGGACGCGTCTGCCGAGGTTCAAAATTTCCCAGAGAGTGACTGCGAAGGCCCATACATCGCTCTTGGTCGTGTACTTTCCCTGAAAATTAAATTAATGCAGTTTACGTTACGCGGTATTTCGATTTACGACGTATCATTTTTCCCACTCTTGATATGCTGTAGAGATAAAATCCTTGAAAGTTGCAACTTACTAGAAATATTGATTCCCAGGCCATCCATCGTACAGGCAACGGCATAGTTCCATCGACTTTGTAGTAATCGCAAGCGTACAGTTCGTTGTCTGTGCCGAAGTCCGAGATTTTGATATGATAAGCCTTACCCACCAAACAATTTCTGCAAACAAAATTATGACGTATAGAGAATGCGAAATATAAATAGTTTTTTAATTATGGACGTAGGAATATATTTATTTCTATTTTATATATTTATATTAATATAATATATTTATATATGTATATTAATATAAATATTAATAAGAAAATATATTTATCAAAATATAAATTTCAATAAAAATATATATTCTTATGTATCTATGGATTTGATCTTTATTTTATTATAACAGAAATCTGCATCTTTTTACTTCCTATATTTTCATGTTATTCGATCATTTTCGCGAATAGTTAATTTATGTCAAATATTCATAATTGCACGGAGAACAGAATGCTTGGACTTTAAAATAGTTTTGGATGTTTTAGAATATTCCTGGATGCTGAATAGCATTACTCGAATTTGCGCGCATTTGTATTATCAACTAAATTAAATACTTTTCGACTTGTGTCTGTATGAAACGAAAGAGGTGCAGTCAGATTGATTTCTCGTTGGTGTATGCATGGAGCGCATAATGCGCCCGAGTATGCAATCTGCATACGTGTATGCATTCTGTGCATTGTAGTTAACCGGAAGCAAGGATGATTGTCTATATAGTCTGCATATAGCATTTGTAAGTAAACTCTGTAGTATATTGGAGAGATTTTTCCTATATTATTCTAGAAAATCGAGATCAAAATTAAAAAGAGACAAAGTATAGTTTTGTTTAACAATATTTCTCATCAGATATTTAAAATAAAAGCGATATAGCGATACGCAGCTTTCAGGAAACGTTTTAATTTTATTGATAAATTTAAACAATAAAATGGGAAATAATAAAAGTAAATTTATTTTTCTTTTAATTCATGAAATATATATATATATATATATATATATATATATATAAAGTCAATATTTTAATTATAATATTAATAATATTAACCAATCAACGAATCTCTGATAAAGATAGCGATCTACACAGTATGTATAGCTATCCTTTTTACGAATTGGGTTATTTCCATCCCTGAAAGCTCTCTCCACTATGTTATAGAGCTCAAATACCATTTACTCGCGAATGTGGTCGAGCTACGTTTCCTGTTCAAGCACACATGAATAAGCAATTGTACATGATGCGTACATTAATTTTGTGCATATCGGATTGTCCGTGCAACGATTATCGCAAATCGTTTTCTATAAGAGAAAGATGCATAATGATATAAAAATATTTATTTGACAACAGTCGCGTGTTGAGATAGCGGTCTATTTTAATCTTGTTAATATTATAATACACGAATATAGTTACTTAATCTTATCGCGAACGCGTTTGATATTTCATCCACTCGTCCTTTGAGCGGGTTTCACGAGAGATACGTTCGAGGATCCCCCGAGGAGAACTTAGAGATGGGTAAGCATTCATGCAACTCGGTTCAAAGCTCCAGACATTGACCGGCTCGCTTTAAAGACGAACTAATCTTCGCTATCTGAGAAACGGCCAGCCAAACGTTATCCATGGAGCTAGGGTATAGAATAGATAGAATCAATTAATTTCGTCGATAGAACAAAGCTCCAATTTGGCGGCAGAACCCGGTTAATTAGGGGCGCTTTATCGATCATTGCTATTGGCTACTTCGCCATCGAGCTACTGCGTCGATGGGGTTGACCCCGGGTTCTCCCCATGTTGCAGAGTACGACAGTAATGCAATAAGCCGCGTTCACGCTTCGCATTGAAGCTGTTGCAGTATAAATCAGACGTGATGATCTCCGCTCTATAATCTAGTGGTTAGAACTTTGATCGTTTTCGTTAATTTCAGAAATAATAAATCTATGAAAACACGTATGTGAACGCAAATAATAATTCGTAAACTCATGACGTAACCTATCGCTCGGAAATTCGCGCATTAATTTCAGAATATGTATCCAAGCATTACTATTAGTTCTTTTAATAATTTATTATTTAATAGTAATTAGTAATATATTTATTTATGTATGTCAAATTGAAATTATAATTATAATTTTAAATAGACTTGATGCATTTTCACAGATATTATTTTAAACATTAATAGATAAGGAATATTCTATGCGAGAGTCTCACCTCTGAATTCCTACTCTAACATTAATCATAATTATGAGATTGTGAGATATAAGAATAATTATGACTGTTAGAATGTCTTATTTTTTAATTTTACAATTTAGCTATCTTATTTATCTTGTATTTTACATGTTAAGTAGAAAGAAATTTAAATTTAAAATTACTATTGAAGGATGATATTTATAGTAAGCTCGTTACAAACACGTAAAGAAGAATTACAAAAGATCAGGTCAGAATTGGGCTACAGGAGTATAACGCGAAAGAGCTTTTTACCTTCTGTAATCGAAATCAGAACAAAGACGGGCTTTCTTGTAAGAGAACGGAATGTCTACATTTGCGACGATTTCTTCGGTGGATAAGGAGAGACTCGCTTCTGTCATTGTGCAAGTTGTACAAGTCGAAGTTAAATTCGGAATTGCTTGGGCATTTGACGCAAGGGCTGGCCCTATTGTCGATAGAAACGAGAACATTAAGTGTACTTGCCGATTGACGCGGCTGTATAATGAAGTCGAGATTCCGGCGAAGTATCGACGTTCAAGTTGAATGTTCGGCCAAGTTAGATTGAAAGTTGAATATTGGATATGCTCGTTGCAAAAGAAACAAACGGCTCCGATCGAAGTGGGAAAAAGGGCGAGAGTACGGCGAGGAAGCGTACGGTAAAAGCCATTCCTTGAATTTTTAACCGGTTATTCGAACGCGTAAACTCTCGTCAGCGGAGAATAAAACTCTCGCGTACGATTTTCAGTATCTTCGAGGGCGGATAAGGAGAATCGGAGCGTTTTCTCGAAATTGCGCTCTACATTTAATGTCGGGGTCACCGAAACCGGATGATTGTTACGAGGAAATGTATATAAATGGCGAAAATCAAGTTTAAGTACGATATTTGACACTATTCTTGTCACAAAATGGTTTCGCTATAAGAATGAAAATATTTTTGGATTCTTTTAGCAACATTTTGAATAAAGCTCTTCATTTGCGGGAGAGCGTAACAATCGCGTTAGACTTTAAATTTTTACTTTTATAAATTATCGAAAGATCCTACAACATTGAAATATGTTAAAGTTCTTTGCCAAATTAAATACTATTGGTATTAGAATTGTAAATGCGAAAACAAAATCGCGTAATATTTCAAATGTAAGAATCAATAGTAAAAGAAAAAGATACCCAGGCCCGATATTAAGTACTGTCTACACTTTGAAGAAAACTCGCCCGGCATACATTTGCGATTCAAAATAGGATGAAGGAAATCTCTTTTACCGGAATGTGAAATACCCACATACAGGATGCAGACTTTTTCTTTTTTTGCTCTTTTATATAGACGTACGTTTATTCGTAGTATTTACCCCCGTTATATTCACAGAGTCTTCGCCATTAACAAAATAACCTCATCAGCATTTACTGATGGAATCGTTCTACAGCGAATCGCGAGATTTTACTCTTTTGTACGCGTTTAGTATCATATCCTATCTTTATATCTCTTCCGGTTGGACAAAACGCTCTTGTACGAGTACGCGAATCCACTATCCTTTCCATCTTTTAAAGCATTACACACAGTTATCAATCTTTTCATTCGTTCGTATTCCTTTTCCATCCGAGCCAATTGAATTGCATTACCGTTTGATCAGCAATCGATCCCTTCCTTCTTTTACACTTGGCACGGTTCCCCGACAATGACTCTATAGCTATACACCGCGGATTCAGGAATGAAATAAGAAGCCGCGATGGGGATTGGTAGTTTGTCTCGGGCGAGGAAGATTCTCGTTCTCCGATTCTGTTTAAACTCCGCAGTTTAAAATTCTCCTTTGGTGAGAGAGTTCAATTTAAATGAATAAAAATATTTCGGGTTCTCTCGCTCTCTTTCACATTTATCGCGACAGATAAATCGCGCGCAGAGATCGCCCCGATAGAAAAGGCAGAAATGCATTTCGAAAGTATCGCGTACGCGCCATTGATATCCGCAATGTCCATTTCTCTTTTGACGCCGCCAGTCACGAAGAATTTATGCCCCATGGTGGAATTCCCATACGGTCGCGTATTTCACTGAATATCGTCGGTTCGTCACGCTGACGTGTGCCATCAAAGTGGAAGTTCAGCGGTGCCATTAAATTCTGATTAAATTTTGATTAAATCCTCTGGAGTCTGTACCAAAAGGTATCGATCTATTTGCAACGCGATCGGATCGTATCGCGCTTTTTTTCCTCACAAAAGCACAGACAGAGATAACGCGTCGCGGTTTCGATGCGAGTGCCGCTAAAATTTTATAAAGCCTCATATGTAGCTTGTTAAAAAATTAACTAAAAGATTATGGCCGCCGCAAATCGCACAAGCATGGACATTCCATTCTCTCGCGAAAATATTTTGAAATTAAAATTTGTAAACGCTACGTATTAGCATTATGTCGTAAAAAAATAGCATTAATTAGATATCTCATTTCCAGTATTACATATTAAAATTTATAACTATAAAATAATGATTGAATTTTATCTATATTTTAATATAGATAATCTCTATATCTAAATTAGTACTTATTGATTTAATTGTATGTGACGGAGAAGCATGTATGAGAGATAAAGAGAGACAGAAATGACACAGAAGTAGTTCTATCGATACTTCTGGAGCTATTTTTGCAATCGAACGAGTCAAACCGTGTTTTTAAGATGCTGACAGGTTGATATCACCATAGAAGTTTCGCGCAAAAAGTCCGTTTCGAACTTTCGTTTTACTATTAATATTTATGAACAAGAATTTGAGAGACACTGTCCAGTCCGAAACTAGGTCCCACGTGCTATGAGAACTCGGCGGTTTGCGTGAGTGTGTGCGAAAGGTATACATATATGCACATATGTGCATCTAAACGTCCTATCGATTCGGCGAGATGGCCATTGCATTTCAATAACAGCCATGTAGATGGACTTCGTTCTATATACAGGTTGTACTTCGTATTCGTCGATTGGCGGTCATCGTAGTATTGTTCACTGTATATTGTATACGTTTATGTGGTTTGAGGATCATTATGAAGGTTTATCGCGAGTACGAGCAATATTAAAATTTACAACTTAAGTGTGCAACTTATCCGAGAGAAAGCATATAGAGTTTAATATACATGGTTAGGGAAATGCCTATAACAGAAGATTTTAAGAAATGTGTGCAATTTTAAATATAGATTTTCAAACCATGATATTTTATGATTGATGAATGCATACATTTTGAGTATAAATACATTTTTTCGTAGTATTTTTATTTATTTTATAAATGTTTGCATACCTTTAATCGATGAAAAATTCAAGGAGAAAAAATATCTTACTCGGCAACTTCTACAAGGCATTCGAATTTTATTATCGGCGCAAAGCGTTTTTAGTTCTTTAAAGATCGCGTTTTTAGCGAAAAACGCATCTTGATTAAAAGATATTAAAAATGTGTGCACTTGGGTAAAAAGTATGACGTATTCTTTTCTCAATAATTTCCAATTTAAATATGATATCGAAATAACGCGGGAGAGAAAAGTTTCTGATGCGAGAAAGAAAAATCGACCGTGAGAATATAACAAATTTTCGATCATGTTGACCATTATGACGAATTGTGAGAAGTTTTTGCCAAGAAAAACGAAATTATTCCGTGCGAGTGGTTTGCAAGGGACACAATGCTAAAATCTGATCCAGATAGTCACGACGATTGAATGCGCGATTGGGTGAAAAAAAATGCGGTTAAAAAAAGCGCCGACATTTTCCGTCGTCGATGCACTAATGACCATACCAGCATTCACTCACGAAAATAACTAGCCGCTTGCTCTTCTCGCTGTATTCCTCGCGACGATTCGCTAACAAATCGTTGATTTCCCATGCGGTTCTCGGCTCGGTTTGTTTTGGGGCTTATGGAAATGCACCGTACGGGGAGGGAGAGAGAATGGTATAATTCAATTTCATTCTGAGAGTGTAACAGGGAGAATCGATATCGGTGTCCCGTTTTAACCGGGTGCATCGAGCGTAGTAAAATCCTCCCTCTTCGTACGTACATGTCCCCGAGCACGATCACCTGCATCCGCGAGAACATCTCTGCCAATTATTAGACTGTGCCAATTAAAGCAGACGGCATAGTCTCTCGAATCGGATGAAAGGCGCGTCTGTCGAAAGATGATTTTTCGACGATTTAAAGTCTGATAGAGCGAACAACGCGCCGATGTTTTGTTAATCGATGAAGCGAAAAGCGAGACGGGGAAAACACATTCAACGGATGAGTGAGTTTACGTTCGGCAAATAAATCAAGAGCCGCAGCGAATCCATTTATCCTTTCCGCAATAACGTAAAAAAACATACCGCGACGTTTACGCCGCGACGTTTACCTCTTTCGTGAGTGGTCTCGCGACCGACTTTTAAAATTACTTTTCAATAAATCGAGCGGTGCGGAATTGCGTTTTTCAACCTGTTTCCGCGGCGGAGGATTATCCCCGTGAATTATAACTCCCTTTGCGTATTGTTGCGAAAGCTTTGTAATTTTCTTCGCGTCGACGAAGAAGATTCCCTTGTTTGTACTCTTACATCTGCTTGACATACGCATCGAAGCGAAAAGAACTTTTGTATTCACTTCAGTAAATCTCTGATGCACTCTTTATTCTTATCCAATCAAAGAGTTATTTGCAGAATCGTTGCGGAATTCTTAAAAATATATATTACTGTTATATGAAATAAATAAAATGTATATAATATATAAAATTATTTTGACTTTCGAGATATATTTATCACAGAGAAATTTATAGTAAGAATATATATATTTAGCTAAATTTACTTCCCTATAAATTGAAATTGCTTAATGTATAAATCGCGTACTTCTATATAGAAACTTGGAATGAGAGTTATAGAGTGTTTAGATGCAGAGTGTGAATACCGGTCGAGGATGATAAAGACGCGTTCGTAGAGTGTAAGTTTATTCTCGGGAGATGAAAGCAAATCCGCGGGGGAGAGATTCATTTCGACAAAGTCCCGTTGTACTCACCTAGTAGCCAGATCCCGATGAACGAAGTTTAGGTTCTCCAGATACCGCATTCCCGACGCGATCTGCGCCGCCATGTAGATGAGACAGTTGAAACTGAAACGACGACAAAGTGGCGTGAGTTTCCTACGGCAAAGTTAAGGTATTCGCACTTGTGAATCCTCTCTCGACCACCACCGCCTCGGAGAGATTCCTCTCTTCCGAGGTGTAGGTCGACGAGAAACTAGGGACTGTGCGTCGTTCACGATTAATAAACGCGTCAAACTCGCGCTGGGGAAACTTATTGCGTGTTAACTCTAGCGACGGTTCGTCGGAAATTAAATCGAGCCCTGGTTCGTTAGAGACGATTGCGACACTTCAGGAACTGCGATCTCGAATACTTTAAACAATATGGTTACAATAACGTATTATGTAGGTAATATATTATCTACATAATGTGGCACTAACACTACGAAAGACTGTCGATTGATAGCAGATCATACAATGAACTTTATTCTTTTTGAATTAGTAATTAATCTTTTGTAAGGCAATCGCGATTGCCAAAGTATGATGTTATTTGCTCGTCTTTAAATAATTTTGATATTTCAAAAAATTATTTTTGAATTTTGCAATGTATTTGACATTAATTTTTTAATGTTTTTTAAACATAAATATCAAATATCTTATCGTAAATATCTTAAGATTATTGAAAATATCTGACATTAAATATCTTTATCTTTAATGAGACTTCGACGAATATATTTAAAATTAAAGTTGATTATTTAACATGATTATTTAATATGTTAAAGACAGTGCGCGAAAGTTAGTGCCATTTGATGTAATTGAAAGTTAATGTAAATTGAAAGTTATAATCCTTATTATTGTTCTGGTAATTAGGGTAATTAAATGTGAATTCGTGAATTTTTCAAGTGTTTTGACATGAGATTACGAACAGATTAATCGCCGCGACATAAATAATAATTAACCGCGTTCAGAGGAACTTCTCATGTAATGTTCGAAAATCTTTATATTTTGCATTAACTAAATATATTGCCTGTTTCGATAAAGCGATATTGCTTTCAAACAGTATATTAATACAGTTATATGTGCTCGGGTGACCTCCCGCCAATTTTATTTGCGGAAGGTACTCCAATTTGATATTTTTTTGAAAATATTGTATTGTTTTTATTTGAGAACATTCAATTTCTACGGCGGCAGTTACATGAAACATCCTGCACGCGTGCCATTTTTTCAAAAAATGACAGCGGATGTTTTAATAAACACTGCTCTTTTGTTATATCAATGAAATAACAAGTCAGCAGAAAAATAATTGAAAGCAAGATAGATACATACACTATATACATATTGTATCGTATTGCAGTACGAGATAAAAGAGAACATTTAATAATTTTTAATAACTTAAAAATTTTTGTAATTTGCAAATTTTGTAATTCGCTTCAAATAAAAACGTTAATGTTAAATAAAAAAATATCAAATTGAAAATAAACTAATTTTGAATTAATAATTGCGGAAATTGGCTGGCGCTAGCTGAAAGAGATTGTTCTCGACCTTCCTTCCATAACGATTAATGTCAGATTATGTCACTAGAAACTTACCTAAGTGTCTTCACGCCAATCGGCATGGAATGTGCGTCCTCGGCAGTGATGTGTGTCTTGAGAAACTGACAAAGATCCCCGTGTTCCAAATATTCCATCACCACACAGTATGGTTCTTCACGGTAACAGGCACCCAAAACCCGAGCAATATTGCGATCTTCTAGAGCAGCTAGAATCCTCACATCTCTTTGGAAATCCAATCTGTTGGGAACAAACCAGTTTCCGTCAGTTATTGCAGTAAATTATCACTATAATCATTAATCGAGATTCTCTTTTTCTCTCCAAGTATTTTATGAAATTTGAGGAAAAAGTTTGACGAATAAAATTGTATTTTCATTTGTGTTTATCTTTACATCATTTAACTTCAACAATTATTACATATACATAATATTTCAAATACATCAAAGTTAATTAATTTTTAAAAATATGCAAGTGCAGAATATATATATTTATTCCGCACTTGTATATTTGTAAAATCTATTAAATTTGATGCGCATTGCAATTTTTTAAAATATATAATATTGCATATTTAAATTATATAAATATGCAATGTTATATATAATTTAATTTATTGCACATTTTCAAGAATAAATTATATACATGTCGGGAAAGGGAGGAGACAAGAGGAAATAAATTCGATATCCTATCGTTCTAAAGTCACCGGCGAACGTCTTATAGTAACGTTTCTCGTATCGCGTGACGCGCTTTCTGCATTGCAGGTCCAGACGCTCGTTCAGCGTTAACGATCGCGGTCGCTGTCCAATTCGTTGGATCGCGACGTTATTTCCGGATAAAAGAAGCGTTTTCCAGAGCGCGAGCACATATGCACGTAGGTCGACGCCGCGCGTTATACCTATACCACGCAGCATCGTTACTCCGGGTTTACTTACGATCGACTTGGTAATGGCACTCTCGCGTGATAGCTTAATGCGGCCGTTAACAAAACTACGGCGCCCCTGCACGTATCGATTCCCCATAAACTGCGAATCCCCCGGTCGGGCTGGCGCGAGCGATTGTCACGCGGCGTCTCGCGCCAAACTCGGGCGTGGGCGGAAGGTACGGTTCCCCATGTCGTAGGTTGACCACTATATGCAAAATAGCCCCGTTTGCCGCGGACTCTAAGCCGAGTTAATGACGTCGCATTAGCCGAAAGTTCGCGGTACAATTTCCTGTCCCTTGCACTGGCCGGTCTCCGCAGGACCGCTTCCGATTCGGCAACGGCTATGTGTTCACGGCACCGCAAATGCGTATCCGACGCGATACGGGATCGCCAGTTTCAGTATCAATTTTGACTTCCCGCGACGAAATATTTTTATAGAGTATTATAATAATTTAATATAATAATTCAATTATTATTATAATATAATTTAGTAATTATTTATATTTCATTTTTATTTTTATAATAATTTAATGAAGAGTATCCTTTTCAATAGCTTCGACACAATGATTTTTAGCAAAAATGTCATACTACACATAATACGCGAATAACAAATATGTATACGTGTAAAAAATTATAGAGCTGTTTTCGGCGTTAGATCTAAATGCTGCCAATATTTCATGAAAGATGACGAAATTTTATTATCGCAATTTTGACTCTGTAAAGGTGGTCCGTCGTCTCGAATGAATGCAGCGACCCGGTGCAGCGTTGAACCGACACGTTATTTTTAATAGAGTGTCAGCGCGGGTCGCGCGATACCGGGAGCATGACGCATAAAACATTTCTTATCTGTCGTTGGCACGACCTTCTCACGGCTCGCACGAGCGAGCATTTCTCGTTGTACTCTTCTCATTTATAATCACAGGGATCTTTCACAACCGCGATCTGCTTCGACAAGCAGACAATGCAAACCATCGCGTAAATAGATAAGATGTGACAACAAATTGATCTTAAATACGGCTGGCACGTAAAAAAATTTATGTCAAAAGAGAATAAAATTCAAGTAACAAATATCTGATGTGTTCTTTGTCTTTTGCGTAAAAAAAGTGTAGACTTGACATTTACACAGTTGTTCGCGTTTCAACGCGGAGGGCGAGAACGTGCGGAGTCATGAAACACTATAAGTCATCCGCGATAGGGAACTTGTTGCGTGAGCGGACGTCGGGAATTCGCAAGAATCGTTCGTTCGAGATAAAATATGACGAATTTCGGAGACTACGTTTCGTCACGCCGATATAAGATTAAGGGGACTAGAGGGAATATTTTTGTCCGTGCGATTTGTTTAGTCACTTGAAAATCTCGAGATCAAATTTTTAATAGAAATGTCAAAGTATCAGAGAAGATCTTGCACGAATTCCGTATATTTTCGTAAAGATTGATTGACTGAAGGCTGATTACGTAAAAATTCTGATCTTTTCAAAGCTCACAGAATATAAAGGATATATTTAGAAGTATTAATAATAAAAATAATGTAATTACTTTTCGTAAAATGCATATATGCTATAAATGTCGCGACGCAAATAAATGCATTCGCTAAATCAGCCAAATCGTTCGCCATTCCCGATCACATCGCGGACGTCCGACAGATTGGTCCGTGGAGCCGAAGAAATTTCTCTTTGACCGGACTTTGTCGAACGCGAACGAGGATTCCGAATGGACACGGCATCCGATGGTTGTCGATTTTCGTCGTTGCTCGTCGGGAGAGGGAGCTTTGTCATCTCTATACTACGAAGTCCGCCCGCATGTCGGCCCGGAGTCCGCGATACCCTATCTCCCGGTCATTGTATGCAAATCCGTTTCATTCGCGGAATCGAACTAGCCTTTTTCTGATGTCCGACGCGATAATCGCGAGAACGATCGTCCGAGAATGGCGTGTTTCGCCGCCGCGGGGCTTCTTCGGCCCGATGCGTTTGCCGAAAAAATACGGAGTGACCGCTCGTTCTCCAGCTTAAAACTTTTGATGTATCGCGCGTCCCAGGAGTAGAGGAGTCCCTTGCGAGCGTGCAATTTAATTTATCGCTTCCCTTCCTTTTCGATCGCAGCATTTTTCCATTGCATTTATATTACACACGCGCGCGAGTCCCGGGTTTTATGAAAATATATTTTCCGTTAGCATATTGTGCGTTTTTCAATCAATGCATATGCAATCAGATGTGCAGCATCGTAAGACGCTTTTCTAAACGCGCTCGGAATAAATTCGAAGAACGCGGTTAATGCATAAGAAATCTGTAGGATCTTCGAACATGCATCTTGATTTATTGAGCTTTGCGATCAATTTGTCTCTCCCGATGCGCTCTGAAAATCGCACCTTATTCTTCTTCATCGTTTAGATCGGCTATCGATTCTGTTCCGGTTACGAAGGCAAGGTAACTCACGATTTCTCTTTCGGTCGATATAAGAATGGACGTTGCATAAAATCGTAACCGCGCGTAGAAAACATATCTCTCTCTCTCTCTCTCTTTTTCTATGTGGCTCTAAAAGGTTTATCATCGTGTATACGAAGGAAACGGGTTAGAGAGAGGAAAGCATACACGCTCAATCGAGCGTCGCTATAACGAAACGGAATGTAAATTGCGGCTTCCATACAGACATGTATATACTCACTTTTCCTTCTCGCTGGCTTCCGGCAGTAAAAACTTGACGGCGACGAGTCGCTTGCCGAGGGTAGTCGTCGTTCCGTATTCCGGAATCCCTTCAGCTTCCGCCACGTATACCTTTATGGGCATAATTTGTTTGAATTGCGTTATGTATATGCATAGAAATGACCAGGATAAATTTGGGAAATTCGGCCGAAATTCTGTAATTTTCTGTGATTTTGACGAATCTCATCGTTGTACGTGACTTTGCATAAGTCAAGCTTTTTATTAACTCCGTTCATTGTTAATATCCGTATGTCGTCCGATTATATACCAGTAATAATAATAACTTTGCGCACGAAAGTGCAGTGATACATATACACTTTCATCTAGCTTTCCAATTATACGAAGCACAGACTTGGGGAATCTTTTTCAACATTAAAGATAATTGCATAACACTTGCAGAAAATTGCACAGATGAACATTTAAGAAGAGATATTTAATATTCTTCTCCGTAGCCTCTGAATTCTTTAACATATTATTTTTAAAGAGATTTAGGATAGGATTTTTTGATACAAAAAAATTTAAATAAACGCAAGCTAATTGATTGATATTTAATATTCTTCTCTGCAACCTCTAAATTTTTTACTTTTAAAGAGATTTAGAGTAGAATTTTTTGATACAAAAACATTCAAGTGAATACAAGCTAATTGATTGACTTTCACTCTTATTATAATTTTAAGAAAACAATTTTGAACAATGTTTTACCTCAGTATGATAGAAAATAAAATGTATTTCTTTCATCGAATAATAATACGCGAAAATGCAGATTCCAGTGATACTACCGTAGCTTTCGAGAGGCAACTAAGAATAATAATCGATCATCGTATGCACATTGCGTAATGCACCACGACCGCTGTATATCCTTCCGCGATATTGCGCGTAAGAGATTCGACGATTTCCCACCGGACGAAGACAATTGATTTCGTATGTAGACCGAGTCGCGAGAGATCGACGTGTCCGATCTCGCGTGAAGTTCGCACAACCGCGCGTGCATGCGGATGCATTCGGTCCCGCGGATTTCTGACGCGGCAACTGGTGAACTGCGCGAAACGAAGCGAGTGTTTCGACGATCCTCCTCGCCGGGTCGTCATTAACGACGCGTCGTTCGGTACCGAGAGAAAGAGAGGGAGGGCGGGAAACAAAGGGGAATTATTAGCCCCTGTAACGCATTCTAAACTGATTATCCTCGACGACCCCTGACGCGACGAGGCGTCATTGTGTCGACGAAGAATAACGCGTTCCAGGCACTTCGTTAATGGACGTATTGTTACGCATCCGGCGCACGTTGAATCGCCCGGATGGCCAACAAACGGATTGATTTCGCGATCGTCCTCCCCGACGGAGGAGGCAACGACACGTTGCATCGCGAATTTACAGGAAATAGTTCGAACTTGTTTCCACTCGCGTAAGCGCAATCGCGGCGATGTTGATAAATTGTTCAAACAGTATAACAAATGTTTCTATTTTACAATTTATTATCATGTATCTCAAAGCGAGAGATAGACAAAATGCTGTTTATATAAGTGATAAATTGACGTTTTTTTCTGTCTAAATAATTCTCACAAAGCAATTCAGAGAATAGTATTAATTAGATGGTATATACACAGCAATTAATCGTTAGATATTTTTGCAAATTTTTAGAGTTAAAGTATTAAAATAAATAAATCGTAAAAACTTTTGATATACAAATTCATGCAGATATGAAAAGAATTAGTAGAAGTCAAGCGCGGCTATTGGGTGCAATATATATTCCTCTTTACTTATTTAATATTTTTAATTTATTTAAATATTTATTTAAATAATTTAAAATACTTAAAATATAATTTATTTAAATTATATTTATTTAAAATTTTATATTTCTCTGTACTTGTTTTGAATGTTTTAGAGTTTTTATCTTGAATGTTTTAATTCTTCCTTTGGACCATTCTGAGCATATCAATTAATTAAAAAAATTCCACGTATCCTTGTTCTCCATTTCGTTTGTTGCGCGAGGACTTGCTAGGAATGTAGGATAAGGATGTGGATTTATACAGGTGGATTTTTTCACTAATTGATATGCTGAGGGAAGGACCGAAATGTTCAAAATAAGTATAGAGGAATTTAAAAATAATTTGATTGCCCTTAATATTTGTGCTTTAATATATATCTAGCCTTTTTCATATCTGAATCCGAATTTATTAACAGTTAAGAAAATTAAGGTTCTCTATATTAATCGAATTTATTAATTAATTGCCATTGATCGGCGATACTAAACGATACATCGTGCTATTCAGAGGCCCGTGACGGATTGGAAAAATATATACTTATGATTTGCATTTAAAAATTCGAATTTAAAAATAATTTGCTTGCATTTAATATCTGTGCCTTAATATCTAGCCTTTTTCATATGTGAATCTGAATTTATTAACAGTTAAGAATTCAGGTTCTCTATATTATAAATTGAATTTATTAATTAATTCCAACTGATCGGCGATACTAAACGATACATCGTGCTATTCAGAGGCCCGTGACCGATTGGAAAAATATATACTTATTATTCGCGGATGTAATAACAATGTCATTACCGTTCCGAAGGCCCCTTCAGCGAGCTTGGAAAGCATGCGAAGGCGATGCCGTGGGAAGAGCGGTACGCTGGTCTGCTCCAGACGTCTCTTCAGGGCTGAGAGTACCTCCTGTTGAGTCGGCGACTGCAACACGAAAGCGCAAATGCATTGTGCGAGCTATCCGGACGATAATCAACGATCTATGATCACGCTAGTCGCGCTGGGGCGCATCGTAGGTATCGCAAGATCTACGACCGTCATTCGACGAACGGCTTTGCCCTCTTTGACCCTCGCGTTCGCGTTTCGCGGATTATCGGACGTACAAGAGAGAAAGGGAGCGCACAGACCTGTAATATGACTTACAAGTGTTCCATTGATCGTGAACTTATTGTCGATTCGTAAAAGCCGACAGACTGTCAGATAGGATGTGGTATTTCTTCGATTTTCATCAGAAAAAACACTCTTAGATGAATGACGTAAAAACAGATACAAGTTGAATTATTATTTTACTACTTGTGAATTTTTGCAAAGATTGATGCAGCGCAATTTGCATCTTGATTGTGAAGTGTTGTATGAAAATTAATGAATTCGTAGCGTAAGTAGGGGGACGATATACGTGAGACTCGCTTCTAAAACTCGGTGCTATCAGAAATGAGAGTGATATGAAAAGAAATAATGTCGAATGCGTCGGTTTACGGATAACAGTGAATCCACCGAGAAGGATGATTGGCGTTGCTACGAAGCGTCAAGGCCAGACTCCGACGCGACACGCGGGGTGAAATGTTTTGACTGTTTCGAGTGGCGCTGTCGGATGTCAATCATGCGCAGACGTCTCGACGTAGACACGGGCACTTTCGGATCCGGAGCGTCCCGTTCCGAGCATTGTGCTCGGATCAATCTCGATTCACGCCGCGGAAACCGTATACACAAACCGCGATACCAGATGTGTCTATCCACGGGACACACGTGTAGCCTGACGCATAGAAAGGACTCACTCGACGGTGAAGAAGCTGTTCGCATTCATGACTTTGAGGGAATCGATCGTGGAACAGGACGGCAAATGCTTATATCAAGTTTTCTTCCTTTACATTTCTCGAATAAATGTGTAAAATTTCGATCGTGGAGAGAATATATTTACGATCAAGATTATTACAGTAAACAGTGTTGTGGTTAGATGATTGTAAAATTAACTATAGATGAAGATGGGATAAAAATATGTAAATTCATCTTAGATAAGATGATGATTTTGTTTTAAATATATCTAGATCAAATTATATGGTGATTCATCTAGATAATTTTCTATATAATAATTTTAAGACTGCTTATGTAAACACAGTTATAAAAAATGTAAATTATAAAATGCGTATATAAAAATATATGTATATATATTTTTTTTTATTTATACATTTTTATCGCATTTTTACTGCTTAAGTTCTACTATTTAAGTATTTTTATGTGTTATGATTCTAAACCAAAATTATTTGAAAATTATTCGAGATAATTTGGTAAAGATAATATTTTATTTCTAAGATACAGATATAGATAATACATATTTTTTATTATTTATATAAAGATAAGATGACGCCAAAGTTTTATCTAGATGATCATCTATATAATTTTATTTAGATAATAGCAAACACTGACAGTAAAAAATATAGACATTTTGATTGTCTAAATCATGACGAGCGACGGAATCTCGCTCCTCGCGTTCGTGAAACAAATACGAAATAAAAATCGTCACAAACTTTTAGAGCTCACAATTTTTTCTATACGAGATATATTTCGTTTTTTGTGATTGTCTAGGTTCTTCGTAAAATTAAACGCGTCTATAGGCAAATAAAGCTATTCGTATGAAATATATAATCAGCCAATTAAATCCGGTGAAAATAATTCATATTTAATGCATATCCTACGCGATGTTATTATGCTTGTCGCCTGTAAAATCCATCAGAAATGAGCTACACATGTGATACTTAAAACAAAAAAAATTATCCAATGCGTCATAAAATTTGGTATGTACAAGCCGTGTGTTTTTGCCGATACGTGATACTCCACATCGTGGGGAGGTTGGTCATGAAATCAATTCCTATCGCGTAATATTTTTGTGATGTCGACCGAGTCGACACTCGGCTGCTAGAGGCTGGGGACGGTTGAAAACGTGATTACACGACGCGCTTTCTCTCCGCAATTAACGGAGCGAACTGGCCCGGAAGCCGCCGGACCGCGTAATGATGATACATTCCACGAGGGTTGCAGCGTATCCGCGAAAGGGCCCCCTGTCCTGTCGACGCGTCCTGTCGACGTCGAGTTCGTTCACTGCAGGCCGGCCGCGACTGCGATCGATCGATCGATTTCATCGTGGACGCCCGCGTTGACTACGTCGCAGTCCCCGGCTTTATTTCCGGCGCGTGTCGGACGAACCGCGATAGCGATTTATTGTCTAAGCAGAGAACGGGGCGTTACACGCCGGCCGTTTTTGCATCGCCATTCGGGTAGTTCCCTCCAATTATCCTTCTCCGAGCTCCCGTGTCGTTTCTGTCACAGTGATGATATCTCGCGGGAACCGATCGCGGAGATCGCAGCGTTAATTATTTCCGTTTCGCGACAGTGTGTAGTATAAAACTAGCGTAATAGAGATATCGTTTTTTTTTATATATCACAGATATACTAGAGATGAATAAAAATGTTTGTTTTAAAGAATATTCATAAAAATACTGAGAATGGTGGATTACTTGTTTAACAGGACGAGTGGACAATATTTTAACACATTGAATCTCGAAAAAATATAAATAGACTAAACATTTTTGATTCTATAGATTAATTATAAAATCTACAAATTATTTTAAAAAGTTTGGGAGTATAAAATACATATGTGATTTTTGCAAACATTATTCTGTTGGATTAGGCTTCAACAGTTTTTATATAGCAATGTAGTCATCAAATGTGTGTTCGTATACGTAGATAATCACGCGATAGAAGGAATAATACGATTTGATCACTACGATATCTTTATGATCTATTATTTCCGAACATGAAAGGTGCATAAATGCGAACGGACGTTTTGTAGAGAGCTCTCGCTGCATCGTACGGAATGTTTGCCGATCTCCAGCTGATCGGTATCGCTATTTATCAATGGCCGACACGAAAAAAAGGCATCTGTCAGTATCGATCACGCGCTTTTAAATTGACCTTCGGCCGCGATCCCGTGATTCTTTTTATACCGATGGAGAACCCAGGGGATCGTCTCGCGTGTTTCATGTCGACCCGGAGGGGTTCCTGCGCTCTTTTCCGCCCTCGTGCAGTGTTCTGGCATTCTGGATACGAGCTACGTTATACTGTACCCACGGGAGGTATATCCGCCCCAAATGTTCCGCGCTCGTTCCACCATATTGATTTAAATTATTAATTGTGAATTTATCTCCGTCCAGGTCGGAGAGTTACGTTTATTGCCGCGTCAACCATGCGCATTTTTTTCGGTTGTTTATTTATGCACAGCTATTTGTAAGATCAGTCGGCGTCAGTCATTGAATTTTAATGGCGTTGACTTTCGATCGTTCTTGCGATATTTGCGATTATCATATTTTGTGCCAATTAAAAAAACATATTTCGTTCTGCTCCATTTTTATCTTAACAATACATTAATTCTTCTTTGGATTTTTTTTTATTATTATACATATATAAATTTTATAGTCTTATAATATAAATATTTCTACCTTGATTTATTTTCCATATTATAAAATTGCCAACTTTTTTATTTCGATTTATATCGTGAGCTCTAGGTCTCTGTCGGGCTTTTTCGATATACATATATATTCATCGTTAATTAGTGCAGATTAAACAATGTGAAATTAAATTCGTACACAGTTGGAAAATTTGTGTTTTCTTGTTAAAAACGATCCCCGTTAAAATTTTCGTGTTAAATATTTGATGCATTCATGTGTTAAGTCAACATACTGCTGTTGTGCTAATTGAACTTAAATGTTAAATTATTAAAACAAGTGAAAAAGGGTGTAAAAATGTGCATCTATTTTTAATATTACATAATAAATGTTTTATTTGTGACAAGATTTATCCGTTAAAATTTACAGAAAAAATAATAAGTGGGGAGGATAAACTCTAGAATCAACATATTTTTCGTTAACTTTTAAATTAAAATTATGTTAATTTTACACAAAATTTATTTGAAATTACTTCAAGTTTTGCATATATTTTGTGTTAGAATATTAACACAGTATTCGTGTCTCCATTTAACACATTTTACATTATGTTAAATTAACACAAAAATTTCTGCGACTGTTTGGGACATGTGATATTATCGATTAAATTTAACAGAAATGTTTCAACTATGTAAAAAGAATAGGGATAGGGATTGCGAGCGACTCACCTTCTTGTCCTCGGTCTTCGCAGCCCGCGAACTCTTGGAGAAGAGGCTGTCCTGATCACCGGTGGCGCTGGAGACGGTCGCTCCGCGGCCGGCGCCGGCGTCCTGATTGAGCAGAGGCACCGTGCCGAGTTCCGGTACCGCATAATCGTACGACGTGTCAACTGCACCATTCGCGTACACCGCTGCGGATGATATAGCAAAGGAGGAGCGAGCGCAGAAGGGGATGGTGTATTGATTGCGGTCAGAGCAAATGCTTTGTTGCCGGGACGTATGTGGGTGCACCGCCGTTGGCACAGGAGCCGCGGCGATTGAATGTGTGAGTTGATGGTGTACGTATACATATGTAGGATGCGCGTATCTCTGTATGTATGTATGTGTGTGTGTGTGTGCGTAATCGCGAATACGTGCCGTATAGATATTGGTGTAGGCGCGTTCGAGCGCCGCATACCTGAGTGATTGATGTTGGTGCCCTTGTTGTTCAGCATCATGTCTTTCATCTCCATAACGACGGTGCTGTAGCTGTAGTACGGCGCGTACTTTAGCGCCTGGTACGGCTCTTGGTAATCGTCCAACTTTACGATATCCAGGAGACGATTGCCGAGATCGCGCGGCAAAGTCGGTAGCGAACCGCCCGCGTATCTGAAAGAGAAAGGATTCCGATTCGAGAATGAAGCATATCGTTACATCGCTTCGACTTTTTTTAATTTCAGATCTTGCACTTGCAATTTTTACGACGTCCTTTTTAACATGTCTATGTGTTATACAAACTGTCAAACGTAATATTAAATATGATTTGTATATACGACATTTAAAAAGAGGACCTTGTGTATATACAAAATGTAGCCAGGTAAAACTTTGACTTTGCGAATTATGCAGCTCTCGCTTTTTAGGAGCAGCATATTTTCTACTTGTGAATTTTAGCATCGCATGTACGGAGCGCGCGCGGTCCATCAAAGACCCAAGCGTAACATTCGCACGCCTACTTGAAGTTGCACGTTACACGTTCTCTTTTGGTTCGAAGCTCTCGCAACTGCAATATCGGATTGCACAAAGCGAGCAGGGGGTTGAAGGGGGATGCAGAGGGGGAGGATCGATGCCGAAGCTCGTGCGGGATGCTTCCGAGTTACGAGGCGGCCGGAGGATCTTCTCTGGAGACATTCGTGCTGCACAAACTCGATATATTGCCCGAGGATGTCCGTTATTGGACGTTATTGGACGTCCGCTAACGAGCGTGGTGGATGGAAAGTTTATTGGAAGGCCGGCTTCCGTCATCGTGTTGAGCGTGTCCTGAGCGGACACAAACTTGGAAGAAATGAGGAATACGCGGCCTCGTGTACGGGGTGATCGTGCACTATCATTTAGCTTCGCGAATGCAAAAGCCCGATAATTTTTTTCTCTCTCGCGTGATCCTATATTTGCCTATCCAGACATTCGTAATCGCGTAATGAACAAGGTTGTCTATTAGACAATAATAATTATTCAAAGACAAATTGATTTTCATATTTTGGACGAAAGACAATATGACTTTCAACATTAAGAGTTATTTTTATATTGGATTTTATTTTATATTTTCATACTTTCAATTTATATTTTAATAAATTTTAATGAGATTTTATTAATGTGCTTAAAAATACATTTTATAAATGTATTTTAACGATTCATATTTTAATAAACTCTAATGAGATTTTATTAATGCTTGAAAATACATTTAGAGATTGGAGGGAATTATAGGTATATATTTTAGTACCGTTTTTTGCATTGATAATATTGTTATAGAATAATACATAAGACCGCGTATCGATTTTGGTATAGCTTTGCCCTTCGGTCGTTTATTTTCGCATTAATTATCAAGTGATAGGTAATCTCTCTCACCTTTCATCGTCCTCCAGGGTATACGCCATCAAAGCCGCGCCTTTCTCGACAGTAGCGCAGGTAGAACCTAGATGCGACGGGGCTTTGCCGGTCATCGGACTGGCGAAGCACTTGCGTTGCCTGTGTCGCGAGACAATCAGAAATATCGCCACGCCGAGTGAAAGTATCACGGCGGAAAGCACGCCGATCACGACCGCCATGTACGTAGGGTCATCGTGTTTCGCAGTTGAAACCGGAAGCTCGCCCTCGGCGGCGCCATTCTTCTCCACGAAGACGTCGCTCTGAATCGGCGATTCGGTTGTCGGTGCCTCCTCGGGCGTAAAATTCCCGTGTGCTATGTCTGAAAATAAAAAACAGAACAGATAATAACAATAATTTTGAAATATATCTTAATTATATATTTTGGTATGAATTTTTTTATTAACTAATTGTTACTCGAACATATACATATATTTGCAACAAGTTCTCGAATATATTTTATATCTTAATTTTCCAATGCATGATTTTCTAAACTCATACTGAACAAACTATAAATGTCCAATGCAGCGTTCAGTGAAATTTGATACACTGTAATGCTTTGTAATATTATCTATAATTATCGTGGTACGCTTGCAATTAATAATTATCATTATCATTATTATTATTATTATTATTATTATTATTATTATTATTATTATTATTATTATTACATATCCGGTATTATCTTTGTTATTATTATGATCGCTATATTGTTCTGTTTGTATTAGATAATCTATTACTTAAGCTTTTCATATGTACATTCTAAACTCTTTGATGAACATATATATAATCTCTACAACTATATTACTGAAAAATATAATAGATTTATTCTCTCTCTCTCTCTGTCTCTCTCTCTCTCTCTTCTGCCGTTTAATTCAATACAGATACTGTTGACGTAAACTTGAACAAACGGTAGCACGCTTTTCTCATAAAAGAGCACATCTGATATACGCACAGATTAACCTAATCGTGTATAAGATACACGCAAAGATCTATACCTTTGAGGACCAAGGATTACAAAACTTGTACGTGCGCGAGATAGACGTGCGGGTGCATATGTAGAGCGCATAATTAACCTATATATGCGCTTTGACGTACGACTTAACTAAGGATACTGCTAGGATATACGAAGTTCGTTACGAGGAGGGTCGTTTGGTTCACTTCTCTCGTAAACGCGAGAGATAACGTTCCCCATTTATTATCATCGCGATATCGCATGAAAGAGACCGGCGGGGCTTTCATCATATAAACATATTATATTACGCTTTTGTCGATGGGCTGTTTTGTGCACAAAAATTGCGTAATTAAACTCCCGCTGTTTGTTCTTTCGGAGCGTAATTATACGCGTCATTTTCGTGTTTAATAATGCGCTTTAACGAAAAACGATATGATACGCTTTTCCGTTCTCTCGTCACAAGGCAAGGGGATTATGTTTCATCTTGCTACAAATAATTACGAAATGAGGAAAATGTATTACTGATAAGGATTACTTTTAATGCAAAAAGTGCATTGATATTACATATTCGTATATAACACAATATTTTTTCTTCAATTCGTGTTTTAGCTTTGATTTTTTATTTTGTAAAATTAAATTTTGAATATATTGTTAAGAAAATAATACTTTTTAGCTTGTTTTTTTTTTATTTATTTAAATGATGTAATATTCTAAATCATTACTTTTCGACGGGTAGACGATTTTTAAATTCTATTTTCGTCAGGACTGACGCGGTCCTATTTTTCGGCGAATATGGTGTCACCCATTCCTGTCATTGTACTTTACGCGCCCGGTCGGTAGAACAAGAAATAACATATATAGGAAGAAACGAAAAAGAATCGCGCACACGGGAGCAACGTGCACAGATTCAACGGTACAGCTTCCTAGTTTGCAGCTGAAACCTTTTTGTGTAGCACACTCGCGTATGGAATTCTTCAGCAAGTTCTTGTTTGAATTTTTTTCGCAGAAGCGCGCTACGAAAACTCTATTTCGTCGTTTTACGTGCAGTAAAATAACTTCATTTTGATGCAATTTCTGCAAGATTGGGTCGGATTATCTTTCTAAAACTCTGCTCGTCTACATATTTCGCAGAATTTTAACATAATATATGATCCTGTTGCAAATTGCATATGTGTCGTAAGAGGAAATTAATTGAAATATTTAATGTCAAACGTACTATCATATAATTACGAATTCTACCAGAGTATATTTTATATTTACGTTCTGCATATTAGTAAATCAAATAAATATCCGATCATGTCACGAACATCGGCAGTTTAGTGTATATAGTTCTCTCACACCACTTCTATCGAATGATTTAATGTCTCATATGGGCAACGTGGCTAACTGGTATATTTTTAATTAGTAACAACTAACAATTCATTAGCAATTCATTAGCAATCAGGAAATAATTTTAAACGATACATATGAATATGAAGAGAAATTACATTTTGCTCCTGGCGATGTTTACTCGATCGACTAATGAGCTCATAATTATCGACATTTGATTGGCAGTTCAGATAACTTGGAATTGATTTCTTTCCCTTGATAAAAATTTGATATGAAGCCATTATTGCAACTTTCTCATTCTCCATGCAATATTATATTAATTAATTATTGAAATAAAGATTTTATTAATATCTATTCAAAACTAATTAAAAAATAATTTAGCTAAAAAAATCATGGTCGAAGTAATCGTTTAAAATATAAACTAGGAATATCTCTTCCCTAGAAATAGAGAAAAATTTAATGTCGCTATAAACTTGAGACACCTAAGGAGCATCACTTTAAACATTATTTAAAAATCTTCAACAATTCACAAAGACGGTCCGCTTTTTACGTCGCGGCGAGACTTTATAATTTAAGAAAAATGCGTGCTCTTATTTTCGCGAAAGGGAGATCTCTGGGGGCGAGAAGAAATCTCGGGGGTCGTTTTCGCGGAGAGGCGGCTGCGCTCTCACACCCCTCTTGCATTTTCCGCGAGAGTCGTTTTGGATATATCCAGCGCTCGCGCGCGAGAATATAAATTTCTTCAGACGCAATCCCGACGCGCGGTTCCCGCGAATCGTCGGCGGGAACATTTCTCCGAAAGTCGGGCTCGTAATGCGCGCGCGAGAGGACCGGCCTAGGAGATAATAGGAGATCCGAAAGGAGGAAATCACGCCGGCGGAGCTTCGTTGTCGCGCAACCTACCCTATACCATCCCTCCGCGTGCGGTATTCCGTCGCGAAATTCCCAGCAGGGTTTACGCCGGGCGGAAACAAAGCTGTCGTCGCGTTTGATATTGGCTGGCTCGACGAGAGCGTCATTCACGTCGGCAGGACGAGCTCACCGACGAGAGCCGCGATTCCGCATATGAAATCTGATATTAAACATTCTTTATGTCGGTGGGTGGTCGACCGGAATTGAATCGGGAAAAGAGCTTTTGCGGAGGTGTCAGGATTACCGCGCCATCTTAATAGAATTTACTGACTACGTGCGATGTCGAAATTTGCAATGATAATGATAGATGATAAATTGCGTTACCACACGGTAGAAAACAAGAATATAATTACTACTGTAATTCTCAGAAAAAATATCTTGTGATGCTTTTATTTATATTGGATTTGTTTAATGATTGGCGCACTGTCCTTTTAATGAGAATAACTTATATAATTCTTGAAAGAATAATTTGAAAGTTATATAACCGGCGTTATATGGATTGTTAATAATTATGAAAAATGTGATAGCATCTTGATACCATATATATTTACATCAAATATAAAAGAAATATATTTTACGCAATTAAAAAAAACATTTATCTTGTTTTTTACTTCTATAAAAGAAAGCCATTTTATTTTAGATTTGATATTTATCATACATCTTTTCGATTTATAATATGCAAAAAACGCGTTTTCAAATATCAAAAAAGTTATGAAAAATAGAACGTGCAGCTTTTACAGCTCGATGAACGAAGCAAATCTCCGCGATCGATTTAATTTACGTCCAATTGGAGCCGATAGATGAAATTAGCATCGAATTATCCGGTAAGCGCGTCTCGAATAAATATTTTTCAAAGCGCGCTGGAACCCACGCGATACCACGACTACCCGTTTAATTATAGCGTCACGTTGCGCCCCGCGATTATTTCGCCATCAAAACAATAACAGTTAAAGGGAGAGAGAGAGAGAGAAAGAGCGAGACGCATTCCGGCTGTATATATACTTTGGTCTGGAACCTAACTAGATTTACGATTGGATCAGGATGTTGCGTGACAGGGGTGGGCTGCGAAACTTATGAATTTTGCACACATAAATTATCGTCCGGGGATACGCAACGAAATGTCATGTTTTCTCTTTCTTGGTTTCTATTTAACGCAGAAAAAGAAACAAAAAATAAAAGCAAAAACAGAAGAAGAAAAGGGATGAGACTTCGTCCTCGTCGTCTTCGTCTTCGTTATCGCACATGTTCGCTGCTCGCGTTTCTTTTGCCTCGCAGCTTACAAGTCGAGAAGGATTCGACGACGACAAGACGACGTGGACGTCGACACGGTGCATGTGCAAATGCGGCGCGGATGCAGCTGACGCTCGACGTCAAATGCAACTAATGCGGCATCTTGATCTTCGCGCCCGCCGACATTTCGCTCGTCGGTCTTTTAAACTGATTTTCGGGGCTGAAAATTGCCGGAGCTTCGTTTCGCTCGTGACCTCGCTCCCGATCTCCGGGGCTGATCTTAATTGGGATCGGAGAATCTTCCCGTCGACGGCGGGGATAAGCCCGACCATCGTCGGTGTTCCGATCACGTCAGATGTCACCGGCAATCGGCGCTCTTTGTTTTATTCCCGCGGGATAACGCTGTGACGTGGTTTAGAGAGCATTGTTTTCGGGTCACACCGTCGTGGAGTGCCGTGGCACATATGCGACGGTTTACATGCTAAATAATCGCGCGTCGAGGCGAGAGATAATGTATGATTGTTAGTAGGTCAATACTTTCGAAACTAGCCCGTGCATGAGTTAATCCTTGACCTGTGATATATTATCGCCACGATATTACCGCATCGATCCACATATCCCGTAGGCACACACATTGCGAATGTATATAGGGGAAGGAGATAAGAGCAGGGGTCATTTGCACTTGGAATTAGTACAAAAATTAAGAATTTGTATTGCATGCATGAAAAATCAAGAACTTTTTTTTATGTGTTTTTTCTTATCAAATTTACGCCTTTCCAACGGTGCTAGGCTCTTATTGCCATTTATTTACTTATTTATTTTTAGATTAAAAGAGCCATAGATTTAATTTTTAGGGTTGGAATTTATTTGCATATTTAATATAAAAAATGAAAACA